CGATGTACATTTTGAATTATCGATATCAAAATCTTGTGTGACCGATCAATACATCTGACACTCAAAAACAGGGTACTGAAATATTACGTTCTAACTCGAATTATGCCCAGTTCATACAACTATAAACAGTCTAACAGATGTTCGTTGGGAATGGACAACTTCCCATCGTCTCTTCTTTTGGTGGACAGAAGTCTTGATTGAGTGATGCTATGAAACGAGCCTTGAAAGCAAGTGAAATCCATTTTAGAATAGATTGGCTGCTAAGAGCTACAGTACGGTACATTTTAATCAATCGGGTTTTAAATCTTAACTATGAATATGCAATCACTACCAATCATTCGAGTTTATAATGTGTTACACCTGGTCTCTTGAAACCACACTCCACACCATATTTTGGGGCTTCCAGTGTTTCATCTCTGTCAGAATGAACAACCGGTCTACGTAGCCAAGACTGAAGAATCCTTTGGTGTGTATAAGCTACTTGAATCCCATATACAGAGTGTGAGTGTGATATTCACTTTGCCTACGGGTTAGTTGTGGTGAATTAATGGGTCTCTAACCAAGCAAGCTCAGCTAAGCGAAAGGAGTTGTCTATTGTGCAGTAATAAAGGTGGCTGTCTACTGTAACTATATTCTGATGACAGTTTATTGCTCGCAAGCAGAGAAATTTCTTTGGCTCCTGATATGAACTTCATGGTAAACACAAATGTACTATAACTATCAACTACCGTTTAAGAGGATCAATTAAGATATTCGGTATCTTCTAAAACATATTTTTAGTCCCGAAAAAGTTGGAAAACGAATACTTGTTTAAGTTAAGCTTAAAAGAAAAGAAAATAAATAAAAGAAAGAACTGGTTAGCTACTCGCTGGACCATTTCAAGTATTTTAGCCTGGTAGTGTAAAAACGGTGGTAACATCTCTACAACTTCCGAATTATGCATTATTTGGGAACTTTCATGGATGCCGAGTGATATGAAGAGATCAAACGTAAAATTACCGGCTGACTCATCAGGAAGGACGGTCGCTCAAGTCAACATTCGATTGTTTTCTATTTCATCTACTATTTTAGTATATCATTCAATTGTATTCTGATTATTTCTTTTATGCATTCAGTCAATCTTGACATTTGTTTAGAGCGATATTCGTTTTTTAGGTCATTATTTAACAGTAATTAACAATAACCGGGAATATTTGTCGCAATTTTCCATAAAATATATTCTCTACAGTTTCATGTCAGGACTAGCCGACTTCTGTTTTCTTAGTAGTTTGGGCAATGAGTCAAGTTTATTAAGGGAGTCGTGATAAAAAGTAAATGTATGCGTCCATTAACTGCGCAACAACATCAAATTACAACTCAGTGGAATTCACCATTGGTTGTCAAAGCAGTTTTAGGGATTTTTTGATATGGTTAGCGCTTAATGAATAAGAGGTTTTCCTCAAGAGTAGGCACAACTTGTTTATCCTTTCGTCTTATTATGTTTTTTTTTAATAAACGCTTTATCCGCCGATTTTTAAGTAAACATGTGCGTCTTATTCTATCACATAAGTCAGTCTTGAGTGCTGTTAAAGATATGAGGGCGGTTATCACTTCCCACATCGTGGAAGGGTTCTGGAGGTAAAAATCTAGTTGGATACCTTTTCTGTAAAAGAATATAATCTACTACAAGGAACATTTGTTATTCACTTTGTAAGTACTTCGGAATTCATCTCCGTCATTTGATCTGATAGATTTTGATAAATTTCTTAATATGAACTAAAAACTAATCAGTTCAATTGCACCAACCAAGTTATCCAATTTAACTTTTTATCGCGTCAAATAATTTCCGCCCATGTGCTGTTGGTAGGCACATGATTTGTTTGTATGAACGATTTTAGACTATCGAGGTTGATAAATGTAAATATCAGTGAGAAACTCACAACTTATTTATGGCATAATTAGAAAGGGTTTGAATTATCCCATTGTCAACATTCATGACTGAGTTTTGAATTCCATTAGTATGTGAACTTGTTGTGCAGACTGCTCTAATATAACTACTTTTTCACAAAAACTTACAGAATAGATGAAAATGTGAAATGAAGGACACGCGTTTCATCCTATCTGTTGCCTGCATCCGTACCGGGGGTCGAACCTGGCGCCCAACGTGATATTCATTGAACTACTGAGTCCAGATAACCAGTCACTTATTGGTGCACAAAGAAGTCATTTCTAAAAACATTTCGAGCACATTAACATATAAGCACTGGTAATTCATTTGTCAAAATTTCACTTAAATAGTTTTTATCTGTTACTGCTAATTAGCCACTCATCATACGACATAGTAGAATTTATTTCATGCACACGTTACCTTAGGTAACTAAGCTAAAAACGTTTATCGATTAAACAATAAATAGTACTGGTCTTCCGTATCAATAATAAAGCATAGAGTATAAATATTTGAGAAAATGAACAAGTGTCGATATAACTAGTTGTTTAGTGCTGTGTTCTATATACAAGAACTCAGTATTGCAAGGAACCAAGTAATTAAAATCAAATAACTGGAAGTAACTGGCATAAATACCAACGAACTTAAATTACAAAATACAAGTGGAATATAGAAATGCTTCAATACATGGGAACCAATCCGTTTTGACACCTGACATATTAATTCGACCGAAAGCGCTGGTTGAGAAGTTCAAATTGGAATGAAACTGGCGTATTGAATTCCAGTGGATACAATGTAGATAAACAAATAACTAGTATTCAAGCGACCACTCTAAGGGATTCAAACCAGTCTTGGAAATATTCGTAGCCAGAAATTATAAACTGAAATAATTATTTTCTGCTTAACGAAAGACAGAAGACAATGGGTAGTATTTACATCAGTTTGGCAGACATAAATGCGTTCCAGTACTAGACACAATCACGATAATTTTAGACGACTCGTTTCTGTCAACTACATGATCGCTATCGATCAAGTGTGATAGAACCGAGCTGCGTATTGTGTTGACATTACCTTTTCCTAACCACGAAGGGAGGTGTTCATTAACTTGTAGTGGTAATGCACCCAATGTAGCTTTCTCCACAGGAGCAGCTAAATTCGTAAATACAAAGAGACGGCATAACCAGGTAACCTATTCTTTAGTTGGGAAATCACCATAGGTCGGGTCGAATACGATAGGTTGGATGCATTAAACGTTGTCTTCATTGCTCTAGTCAGTCTACCACGTAGTACATCAGCTACATCTCCATTGAATTGCAGCTTCAAGAAGAGAGGTTGATGGAAATAAAATAAATCAACTAGATACAAATGTGCAGTTTGAAAATCTATTTACACAAACAACAGATTTTGTGCCTACTTCACTCGATGAACTCACTACGTTTAAGACCACATTAGTGGACATCCGCCAACAATACAAAAATAGTAAGTGTGCTGTGAAAACTCCACTTACCAAACAGCATCGAGATGCTTTACATATGCTTAGAAAAAACAACACTTTAATCATAAGCAAGCTGGACAAAGGAGGAGGACTGGTTTTAATGAGCAAAGCCAATTACATTGATAAAATTAACTCAATTTTGAATGATCCGACTAAATTTCAATTATAAGAGAAACTTAGTCAAATGTCTGGCAAATAGAGCTATTAAGATATGCTCAATAGATACAATTAATAAGGAATTAGAGCTCCTACATAATATGTTGATTGAAATGGGTTATCCACAGGGTTTCCTGAAGAAACACATGCGTGTAACAAATAAGGAAATAGCGACGTCAACGGTTAGTGGAGAATCTTTCTTCTTGAAGCTGCGATTCAATGGAGATGCAGCTGGTGATGTACTACGTGATAGACTTAATAGAGCAATGAAGAGAACGTTTAATGTAGCGAACCTCTGTCTATCGTATTCGACGCAATCTACAGTGATTCTCCAACTAAAGATTTAGTGAACACCTTTCGTTGTTAGGAAAATGTAATATCAAGACAATCAAAATAAATAAACGTACGTTGTTCTTGTGTCATCAAATTAACCCATGAAAAATGTTGACTTGGAACTATTTGGTATATCTGACTGTTTGTTTATTATAGAAAATAACTAGGAATGTATGCAAATACACTATCATCTTAGGCTATATTTTGTGTTGTATGGTCGTCCGATTCTGCAACTGATATATATACGCTTAATGTAGCCAAGTCAAACCAGCTACTGGAATGCAAAAATCAAAAATAGGCAGCCGCAATTGACCAACCTGGATAGAAATGTATGCACAAACTCATCAATTAACATGTATTTGTTTCCCTCAGAAAGTAAAGCCAGGCTTTCGATCAGTAGTGTATATCTTCTCCCTCAGATTACTTACTTACTTACACCTGTAACTCCTCGTGCAAGAGCATAGCCCGCTCACCAGCATTCTCCATCCAATCCTGTCCTGGGCAATCCTTTCCAGTTCCTATTCATCCTTTTCATATCTGCTTCTATTATCCGACGTAATGTGTTCTTTGGCCTTCCTCTTTTCCGCCTTCCTTCAGGATTCCAAGTTAGGGTTTTCTTCGTGATGCAGTTTGGTGATTTCTATAATGTATGCCCTATCCATTTCCATAATCTTTTCCTAATTTCCTCTTCAGCTGGAAGCTGGTTTGTTCTCTTTTACAGTAGATTGTTGCTGATGGTATCAGGCCAATGGATGTTGAGTATATTGCGTAGACAACTATTTATAAATACTTGTACCCTCTTGATAGTGATTGTAGTAGTTCTCCAAGTTTCAGCTCCGCCTGTAGCTCTTCTAGAGTTACTTCCGGTTCCAAGCCCGGTTAAAGGAGGAAGGTTGAGCATGGGGTTAGCGTCCTCATCCCGTAGAAAACTAACTCGCTAAAAAACGCTTATCAGAAAAATAATTCTCCCTCAGATAATAAAGTTAAATCTTGACTAATAACAGGCGTACGTCAACATCTCATTTGTCTTTGAACTAATGCGTTTGATTTACCTTGTCTATTCCCTATCCAGTATTTAACATGAATAAGACTGAACGAACACTACATATTGTTTATATTATCATTATTATTAAGTAAGTAGTTCACATCGTATGAGAATATCAATGTATATAGTATATACGCAAAAAAAGGGTCAATAAAAGGACGTCAAACATACTTCACAGAGTAATCTTCCAGTAATAAGAATAAAACACAAATACAGAAGATAAACAAGTATGATTACATACAATGAATGAGAATGAATAAGTTATACTATTCAGTATAATATCAAATAAGAGAAAGAAAAGAAAGAAAGAAAGAAGATCAATATTGAATGGTGTTCAATTTTTCAATATCAATCATAATAATGATAACATAGTTGTTGTTTATCAAAACATACAATAGAAACCAATGAAAAAACCCAATTATTTATTAAAAAAAATTATGATGAATATGTGAGCAGGTATATTCATAAATTGTGCCATTTATGTTATATGTGTATATGTTGGATTTATCATTCAATCCATTGACACAAAAGAATAGAAAATGTAGGTACATTGGTTTCATCCAGTGCACTACGCACACACACACATACATACAAATATAGTGCACTCATTAGGAATTTTTATAATTAAACAAAAAAAAGATGAATACAAATAGACGAAGAAGAAGAAGAATAGGCAAAGGGAAAATCAAGCTGTATATACAAGTAATACATAGTAGAAATGTAATATGGAAATTTTTATAACCTGATCATCAAAATAGTGTGTAGTTCGCAATCACTTAGTTATTTTAATCTTTCATTTTTTTTAAAATAACAACACTTATATTGTTACATTGCTGTCTTAATTATGGCGGTTGTGATGATAGACGTGGATTAAATTGAGCTGGTAAGTTTTGTAAACCAAAAGCATTGGCCATTGCCGCTGCTGCTGCGGCAGCTGCCGCTTTCTGTTGTTGTTGTTGTTGCGTTTGTGAATTAGTAGGAGGATAACGTTGTTGATGTGGTTGTGGAGATGTGTATGACGGAACCGGTGACCGATATCGATCGACTGGATTCGTTGACATATTTGTATCTGTAAGCATATCTGGTTGATTAGCACCACTAGCCACCAAAGAGGTTGCTGCTGCAGCCAAAGCGAAAGCATTCAACACTGCTGGATCCTATAAATATATAAAACATACTTATTCTGATGACAAAAATATCGGTTTCGTTAAATAAGAAAAGAAGTGATAACTTTACTGAAAACTAACCATATATGTATATCCTAACCACATATTGAGTTACTGTCAGTCCCGAACCCGGAGAAAGACGATTAGGGCATATGATTTTCAATTCCACTTCATGGAAAGAGTATTCCATGATAAAATCGCTAACTAAACAAAAACAGAAACTAAATTACGCCGGGCTTTAGGGAATTGAAGGGTCATCATATAAAGTTGTGACGCTCCACAGCGAAAGTTGTGAGTCTCCGAAAACCATGAGACCACAATACCCCCTTCTTACAAATATATCTTTGAATCGATGGGAAGACATACGATCGACACACAATTACAAAATAGTAGATGTTGATATCTTCTGTAAAACTGACTGAAAAATCCAAGGAAATCCAATAGACTCAAAGGCTTTTTTCTTAACTCATTTGTCAGGCGTAAATTTGAATGTCTGACTTCGATACACATTTCATTTCAACTAAAGCAGGCGGAATAAAACCAGAGACTTTGTGTTTGAAAGTTGAACATTTTAACCTATAAGCCAGGGTCCCATGTATGAAGCGGTGAATAGCATTGGACTCTACAGCAGCGTTCACACATGACTTGGGTAATTTATGACGTAGGTGAGATATCCATCCTACTTTATGGCAGTGAAACATGATCTAGTCGTACTGTCAGCGATTGGAGAAATTCGGCTAACGCATATTTGGTACCAGCCTCTAAATTAGTTATGACTCTGATTGACGTGATTAAGTGTAGTCATTTGAAGCACTGATTCATTCATACATTAATGTAAATATTACAAAAAATAGGAAAAAATAAAAATGAACTAATAACAAACTAGAAACTTATTTACCTGAAATGAAAAACCAGGCGGAAGACCAGACATTTGAGCAAGATGAGCTAATTGCGCTAATTGTGCCGGAGGTATCCCACCACCACCACCTCCTCCAGGTACTGTGGGACCAGCGACAAATGAAGAGTCATTATTAGCACACAGAGATTGATGTATACGATTAGCTGCTGGAGTTGGTGTACGATTATTATTGTTATTATTATTACTATCGTTATTAAATGATCGGGATTCTGGATGTGAATAATGTACAGGAGGAGACTGTAAACGATTTGATGATTGAGATACTACACCAGGTGAATGAGATGCAATATTGTTTGAAGCTAAATGACTATTCTGGCGACGTCTTTCTTTATGTGTATTTTGATGCATAAAATTGGAGAGTACAACACCAGGAGTAGGAATACTGTTATTACAATCTGAATTGTACTGTCCACTACTACTCCCGACTGGAGAACGTAATCTCATGTTGGATGTTGGAATATTCATATTTCTTTGTGATAAATTCTCTTGAATTCCAGACAATGGATGATGAGATGATGATGAATGATCATTACTACGTGACGGTAACTTTTTATCTTGTGATGATGATGCCATTTCTGTGAAAGCTGCCGCAGCTAAACTTGCAAATGTTAATGCTTTGTTCGGATCAGACTGCATATTAGCTATAAATTTATGTTCAAAATAAGTTAGTTAATATTTAAGTAATATGATAAAAAAATAAATTGAGTTCAATATAAAACAGATGAAATGTGTCTAGCAGAGAAATCCAGGACGTAAGTCGATTCGTTCTATTTAGGACTCGTTATCTGGATGTACCTCCATCCTAGAGTTAGTGACCATTCCGAGGCTCGAACTTAGTATCATTCACGTCAAACATCAACGCATTATCTACTTAGCTACTGGGTTCGAATCCTGAAATAAATACTCCAACTAAGACTGATTAAAATTTATACAAAATACCAACAATGGGATAATTCTAACCACTATAAACTAGATAAAATAAATTCCGGCCTCTTGTATAATCGTAATTCCCATTGCTTAGATACATTGGACTAAGAAATTTATTTCAAAGATGAACAATGTTTTATGATAACATAGATCACCTTGACAGTTTCGTAACGCACATTCTTGTGAAACCGATTTAAACCAACCATTTATTCTGAAACTTCACTCATTTTCCCCCCATGATTTCTAAGTCTAAGTGCCCTCAAAAGCCATGGTACGACCGAGAGTAGGGAGAGTCAGTTCTCCTACTCGAAATGTTCTCAAATGGCCACGTGCATACAACCACTGCCAGGAAAGTCCTACTCACTACCTTCTCGCACAACGGGTGTTGTTAACGAAATTGAGAGGATGAAAATCGAATGTCCGGTGCTTTAATCGGGTTGGTGGACATGGAAAGTTCAACAGGATTACTAAGATCAAATTTAAATGATTTTAATTAAAAGATTTTGATCATTTGTCAAAACAATCAAGTGAGACATAGAATTTTACAGAAGAACTTACCAGCCATCATAGCCAGTTTAGCAGCATTCAATACTTGTTCTTGTAAATTGGAAGAAGATGCTGATGATGACAATGATTGAGTATTTGAATTACGTGCTGTTGATCGATTAGTCCCATGAGAAATAGGTGTACTAAAAGGTATATTTGGTTGAGCACGTGTAGGTACTACATTTAATGACATAGGTGAAATATTAACATTTAAATTTGTAGAACTATCACGAGATGTAGAATATGAAGAATTATGATGTGCCATTGGTGGTGTTTTATTAATATTATGAATATCTGAATGATTTATAGGAAAACGATTAGTTAACAATGGAGTATTACATTGAATTGATTGTTGTGGAAAACGTGTATTTTGTGGTAATTGAACCGAAGCTGTAGGTCGAGTAGATATACTATTTACTGCAGATGTCATTGCACCATTATTCGTTTCACAATGTGATAAATTAAATGATAAAGGGAATAGACAATCTTGATTTGAATAAATAGAAGACATACTTTCAAGTCTTGAAGCCATTTCAGCTGAAAATGCTGTAGCAAAAAGTTCTTGTTGTTGTTGTTGTTGTTGATGATGTTGATAAATTTGTTCAACTGGAGTTATAGTACGCTGTTGTTGTGGATTATTATTATTATTATTTGTAGTATTTCTTAAATATTCAAGTCTTTCAGTCATTAATCGTTGAAATGCTTCAATTTCACGTTGTTCTACTGATGTAATAGGCATCATATGTTCAGGAGGTATTGAACCAGCTATATATTAATCAATAAATTATTCATAAATTACAATAGAGCATAATGATAACAAGAAGAAGAAAAAAGTAAGAACACAACTTGTGATACACTAATTGTATGTATGATGATATGTGCCTAACTATCACCTATTTCGACGAATAACGATGTCAACTGGTGTATGAGTAGTAGGTTGGAAGAAAATCTAGGAATAATCAAATCAAAACACAATATCATTTCACTAAACCTTATCGAATTCAATTGAATCGTATTGGTAGTTGTAGATTACTAGTTAGTTAGGATAAATTATTGATTGTCTATGTATTACAACCTATGGGAGAATAGATTAAAGATTGATGTGCAGAAATGTGCTCAATCAGACTAACACAGAAAGTTACATGGTGGATCAAGTGTCTAAATTACAGTGAGCAGATAAATAATACAATAGTTGAATGGGCTTACTACACTATCTTTATTTCAGTATTCAATAAAAGTAACATATTTAGCATTTCACTATTCATTTAACAGGTGATTATTATATACATAAGAGTGAAGTTTTAAGTGGGGATTATTTTCCCAATCATTTAAAGTTATCTATCAACTATGAACACGCTAATGTAGCGCATTCCAAATTGGTGGATCAACAAAACAAATGAAGTGAATGTTAGAGTATCGAATATGATTCTCAATGAAAATCATGCTCTTACATCTAGCACTCACTCATTCTTCCATTCGGAGATCTTATCAAGTGAAAATTTAATGAGTTACACACATATATAGCTTAGAAGTAAAATTGTAAATTAGACTGATTGGTAATCGAAGGACAACATACACACATGGACACATTAGAAGTGTATATATATATATATATATATATATATATATATATATATATATATATATATATATATACGAAATTTGCTTACGTGGAAGTAATCCCATCAAAGCTAATTGCCGTTGTAAAAACTCTGGATGATTATAAAGTTGATTCCCTGGCACTGATGAGTTAGAAGATGAAGATCCCACTGAAAGAGAGAAATGTATGTCATATACTACACTGTATATATTTAACAATTATATTACATCCAAATTGCTCAGCAACAATGATGACATTCATTATCAACAAAGGGCCCGGTACAAATATGAGTTGACCCAAGTTGTCATAATGAATTAGCATAACGGGAAGAAAATAACACGATCAATTAAAAAAAAAGTTATTGAAGTAATGTAACAGCAATGATAACGAATGAACATTCGAAATATAGAACGAAAAGATGGGGTATAGAGGTATGTATGAAGGAATAAGGGAACTGAAGATCGATAGAAAGATAAAGAATGAATGTATCTGTACTTACAGTGTTTAGCCATGGATCATCGTTATCACACAGACTCTAATTAGGTAGTCTGCATTTATCAACATGGCTCAGATTAACAGTCAATGAATTAATGAGCTGATATCATGTCTTAGTTTAACAGTCCCTAGCTACTTTACAGCCTACTTCTGCTCTAACAAACATCAGACCTCAAGGAAAATGATAGTTAAGTGTACATAAACACGTTTCATTCGATGAAGATTCACAACCTCATCAACCGATAATTGACTGACAAGTGGACGAATCTTGAAACGTATAAAAAAAGATGATTGAACGGGTACTAGGTAAGGATGGCAAATCAATTGATGAAGTATTGAAAGTTCATCAGTTGCGATGGCTGGAACACGTGTTACGCATGTCCAACCATCGACTGCCTCGACATGGGGTAGGAGCAGGTTGGAAGAAAGGTAGGGGCAGCCAGACCAAAACATGACACAAATCCAGGAAGTCACTGACAAGTGGACTGAGCCATGTTGATAAGTGTAGACTACCTGGTTGGGATCCGCGAGATAATAGCAACTGATGGCCCTAGGACGGTCGAGAGTGGGGAGAGTTCGCTCTCCCTCTCGAAATATTCTCACATGGCCACGCGTATATAGCCTCTGTCAGGGAAGTCCTACTCACTGCCTTCTTGTAGCGGGGAAGGGTTGTTTACGAAATTGAGAGGACAAAAAACGAATGTCCGATGCTTTAACCGGATTCCAAACCAATGGTGCAGATGGGCTCCAGTATCCTGCGGGAACGAATGGCGTATGAACCATTTGTTGGTCACTGGCTTCCATGGGACTGCATCTCCTTACGATGCTCCACTACCTTGTAGATCAAACCTTCAGGTCGAAGGCTCGGGGAGTGGCCCCCTAAGAAAAACACCTGCTTTGAGTTAGGCACCCGGGCAGTATCACAGCCCTCACACATATCGAATGAGATTTGTGTGGCGCATATGTATTTGGTGCCTCATTGTACAAATATCTATGTGTTAAAATAAAATAAATAAGAGACGTTGAATGACATGGCTCAAAATCGTTTGTGTTAGGTATGCTGAGGAATATGCCAATAATTATCATGTCAAGTCGAATGGTGTCCTTGGACGTTAAATGTATATTTCCTATTGGTTGATATTTACTTCACTTGTTTAATATTGTGTAAATGTTGTTTTCTATTTTTATGGTACGATGTGGTCTGCTTGGTTAGTATATAAACAGAGTGTGTTTGAAATATAATGATTCATATCTCAGAGGCTGTGACTTGCGTTCTGGACTCAACTGGCTAGGATAGACAGCGAAGCAGGGCCAATCGGTCATTACGTGTTTACGTGTCACTGAATCGATCGATACAAACGCTGCTTATCAAAACCTGAAGTCACCCCTTACAACAGTTTGCAATAACTCAGATGCATCCACCCTTTGTGTTCTTCCAAATTCTAATCTTCTGAATTCTCCATATCCCTTTTTTTCTCTTTCCAAATTTATTTCACTAGATTATACTCCTTGAATAACATTTTCAAACCCTAATCTTTCCGATTATTGCTTGTACTTTTATTACTTCTACCACTATGGTATTTGAATCGACAACTGTATCTCTATCCTAATGTGGTATGGCAACTCAAACTGATATACGTACGTACGTATGAAGTTCTACGTCGTTGCTGATTGACTCATTGAAACTGTACATTTTCATCTTCGTAATAATCTAATCAAAGCTGCAAACAGATCAACACATTCTTTTCTAAAATGTTACATTTAATATGTATAAAGTACATTGCAATTTTAATCTATCTATTCCATAATGACAGATGGAATAAAAAGATTGAGAAAACTAGTCTAAGCATAAATTAGCTGATTAATTAGTTACAAACTTTTATATGTCCAATTCACAGATTATGAATAATAAACAATTTGAAAGAAAATTAAAATACACAGTTTATAATTTTATATTATCATGGATAAACCATATACATACTACTTATATTTATATCATAGTGAATGAATGATTTAGCATAAATGATAAGTGAAAATTAATATTTACAAGCTTATTTAATGCATAAACTTCTTATAAGTTAATGTGCATTAGTATGCAACCATATTGTTTGAACAATGATAATGATATAAGGATAATAATAGTTTTCTTCTTCTAATTCGGTGAAGGTATGAGATTGTAATATTAAAGGATATAAGATTACCTAGACAATCAATGATTTTGAACAGTATAAGTCAATAAACGTAAGCTACATATTTGATGAAATTATATAGTAATAAGTAGTTCGTACAATATCTAGTAGCCACGTTACAACTTGATCTAAAAATTTTATCAACACCAAAAAAAGTAGACAAACACAACATTAGTCACTAGTTGAGTGATCAATCAATTGTAACCATCTCCGTCCATAAATGAGGTCAATCGTAGATCAAATAATGTCATCGTTACATTTTAAACTGTGAAGATATGTGACGCGTCATCGCATCCCCTAAAAGGAGTATCAATTACGGGTAAGCTTTTGTGACTTGTCAACTAGAACAAAACCTACATCAAGTAGGGTCTCCTGTCAAGTACATTAGTTCATAACTAGTATCTACTTACAACTCGTCTTGAACCTACAGTGTGGGTGTGTGGAAATTGTTAAGTTTCAATGAAATCATGAAGCAATCAATGTTAGACCACCACTGAAAACCTGGATAGCCGTTTCGTCCTAGTATTCTAATTAGTGACTAGCTTCGAGAGGAAATTTCCGGAGTCCTAGTTAGAAGCTGTGGTAGTTAGAGGCAAATCGTGCCGAGTGTGGGGCAGTTTCCAACTGAAGACTACAGAAGATGGTCACACACCGTCGCGGATTAATTGAGATTAGAAATTAAAACCGCTGTATGCCGGGCCAGTGTCCTAGAAATTAAGTGTTCGAGTGCGAGATTGAGGGCCTCGGGTTCGAGTTCGGGTGTTAAATCACAGATTCACTGTTGAAGAGTTCCATAGTAGGATGAAGTGGCTTTCCAGTGCTTCCACGTTTTTAACGGTGGTTTAAATTGGCTCGGCTCATGATTTTAATGATAATCTTAAGCTGTAATTTGTCGATAAATTGTTCATCTCTTACCAGAAGATTCACCAGTCGACTGAGGATACGTAGATAGCAGGGTCTTACTTGTTCAAGATGCTGAAAAAGTCCAAAGTATTTTGATCGCGACAATGCAAAAAGGTTTGGGATGAGTTTCTCTCCCCTTAAATGTAAAATGCTACATCAGGGATAGTCTGCGTCAGTGCACAAACTAGTGATGGAAATTGAAGTAGTTGAGCGCATCGACTATTTCGCTTAATTTGGAAACTTCTGTAACCCTACTGGAATAGTGTCTGATGAAATCTTGGGACGAACTCAGAAAGCATGGTTGAACTCGCCCAATTTTTATCACTTGTGACGTAGACGCAAAGCCAGTCTAACAATCGAAGAACGAGTATACTGTGGAGTAGTCTAGTCAGCATTACTCTGTTGATAAGATTCATTGGTTTATAAAGAAGACATGTTTTGGCTGTGGTTTACTTGTATCATAGTTGCCTTTGAAGCATTGCTCGCATATTGTAGAACAATCGACTTGACAACCCTATTGAAGTTGAGCATACCGGACTAAACAGCTCCGAAGATGATGAATTAGTTGATAAAATTGTTAAGCCTTTAATTAAATGTGATACAAATGTTTAAAAAATGTAATGAACACAGAAAATGTCAAACGCTGATGAGATACTTACAGCCATTGTAACTACTACTAATACTACTACCAGTAGTAGGGTTGAAATTCGATCCGTGAGGAATAGACGTAGAACCGACACCACTAGCGGACATAGCCATCTGTGGCGGTGGAAGATTTAATGATTGGTATTGAGGATCATTTAGGTTGAAGTTGAATGGAGCACCACTAATCGATGGTTTATTTATTCCGAAAGTATTATTATTATTGCCAGACGATAATGAGGACGAAATACCAGTTGAAGTTGACAGAGAAGAAATTGGTGGATAGAATGTTCCAGTTGCAGCACCCAATCTAGTTGACATTAAAGGATTATTACTGTTATTACTATTACTATTATTTGAGCTTATAAAACGTAGATTTGGAGAAGATACAACGGGTGACTGTTTCATTTGATTATTCAATTCAAAATTAGTTGGGAAAAATTTACATGTGTCGCGTACTGGACCAGGAGGAACAGGAGGACTATGTTGATAATGACCTGCCGCAGCTGCAGCAAATATTAAAGCTTGTTCATACATAGTTTGGAGTTGTCGTTGTTGTTGGCTTGACATATTATTATTATTAGTAGTAGTATTGTTGACAGTCGGTCTCAATTCAGCTCCTGTTGGCAGTATTTGTGAATTGGATATAGTATTACTACTACTATTCAACACGGTAGAACAAGATATATTGGTATTTGGAACATTTAATGAGATCGAATGCAGATAAGGATTATTGATAGTATCACATTGAAATGATCGACGAGATTTTGTACATGGTTGTTCTGTTGTTGACGATGGAATAAATGATCGTTTGGAACTATTACGTGAGCATAAATCAAGTGCAGTCGATGATGAATCATGAATACCTGGAGATGGATTACACGACATATTTGTATAGTTCGCCTAAAAACATCAATGAATGAAGAATAATCAAAGAAAGTTTATATGAATAATCAAACTAAAAATCATACAAATATTCATTAAAAAAATAGTTTAGAGTGCCATACATATGTCATATAGTATCAAATTGTCATGTAGTCAAGTCCCTCAGTGAAGTTCTTGATATAAATAAGACAACAACCTAGTAGTGTAGGTAATACCTTCTTCTTACTACGAATGATATCAGCCACTCAATTACAAGATTTCAACTTAAATCTGCCTACTTTGGTTTGAGGCAATCGTAGAGTATCATTAGTGATCACATTAAAAGTGTGACTTATACTCAAGCACTTAGTGAATGAGTAGATTTTCAAATGTTTACCATGATATAAAACTAATCAAATCTTTACATGAAAAATGAAGATATTCTTTTCTGATTGTAGGCATAATTAAACTATATCGATCCAGATGTTCACAATGATACGAGCTGGGGAAGGCATAAATTATAACCACAAACAATAATATTTACCAATCAAATAGGAAAGTTTTAAACTAATACAACCAATGAAAGTAAATGAAAAGTGGTTGGTAGTAGATTCTATAGCGCATGTTTCATCCTATTCTGAACTCATCAGATGAATGAACTTGTGTTCCAAAGTTGGCGCAGCTCCTAAATAGGACGAAAGATGCGCTAGCTATATTCCCATCTATTCATAATTGCTATAGAGAGGTGATCTGCATATATGTCAACTAAAACCGAATCAAAGATATCAATAGAATAAATCTAAACATTCAATTAATTTTGTATTGATTTATCATTGTGACAACGATGAAGTCAACTGGAAACTGACTATTATACTTAATAGCTATTGCTTGGGAAAAAAAGCGATTTTTTCTTTAAATAAACCAGTTAAATGATATATGAACATAAATAATGTTAATCAAGAAATATCTAAACCTTAATTGAATAGAACAATAAGGCATTTAGCGTTTTTTAGCGAGTTAGTTTTCTACGGGATGGGGACGCTAACCCCATGCCCAACCCTCCTCCTTTATCCGGGCTTAGGACCGGCAGTAGCCCCCGGAGGGACTCCAGACGGAGTGGATATATATATATATATATTCAAGGTTTATTAAAATTAGAAAAACAAATCAACTACGAAACTATTAAGAAGAGAACAAGATATTTAGTTTGTTTTTCTTTATTACATGTTAGTACTTCCTTCAAGAGGATAACTTCGGTGGTATTTCTTAAATTCATATTTCTATAACGAATTTAAGTGTAATCTGATTGGCTAACCAGAAAAAAAACACTGATTGGTTGTTACCATCCTTTAGTTCAGTGATTTTATTGTGTCCTAAGATCATTGTGTATTACTATTTAAACAATGTTCCTTCATTTTGATTTTTTGACTTCTATTCGAAATATAAAGTCATCTCGAAAAGGTTGATTCTCTTAAACTCTCTCTCTCTCTCTCGATTGCCGTTCTGTTGCCTTCTAATACTAATACTATACATATATTTTTATTTTATGATTGTTAAGTAACTAAATTATATATATTCATATTCCTCTTATTATAAGCTTTATTTTGGCCCATAGTCTATTATTATACGATTTGCTGTTTTTGAGTTATGCCCAATCTATTAATTAAAGTCTACCAAATTCACAGCCACTTTTGGCTTGATCGTGTACAAATGTTATTACAATGTGATCTGTTTAGTTTGTATATAAACCCAGCATGCTTGAAATTGAAGTTCTATATTCAACAGATAAGGCTAGGCAGGAAGAAGGATCGATAAAGACTTTAGACTACTCGTACAGGTTTATGCGTCATTGGTTCGGTCGATAAGTCACTGTTGTTTAATTGGCGCTATTATTACGTTATATGATTAATAGGACACAAGGTTACAAGTCATAACAACATCTTTACCTGATATATTCATAAATTCAATTATTCGATCATTATTACGTAATCATACAAAATATATTGAGATAATAGGTCAACTTACATTAGGTGAAGTTAAATTTAATATTTCCGACTTAGTTATTGATTCACTATTGACTACATTTATTGAATTATCCAAAGTACTTGGTAGAGATGATGAAAGATAAAGATGAACACCAGGTCCAATAGCTGTATCAGCATATTTTGTGAATAAATTACATTTTTGCATATGCCAAAATTCTCGATTATTCAATGAAATATCATTTAATCCTCTGCCACAATATATTAAATCCGTACGAGCACATGAACCAATATTTGTTTCAATCTTTGTTGATTGATAATCTGTTCCAGGAGTAGTTGTTGTATGTGAATATTGTATTTGTCTATCCCAGATACGTACAAGATGTGACCAGGTGGAACGATGTGCGTCTCTAGATTTTTATAATTTTTTTTTTGGGGGGGGGCAGGAGACAATGAGAAATACATGAATAATAAATAGGATTGTAAATTTATTTGTCAATACGTGTAACTTAGATAACAATAAAAAAAATAATTGCTTTTTTATTACTGATGTCGGATTTCATTATTTAAACATATACACTGGTATAAGGACGCACCAAATATATATATGCCACACAAATCATTCGAATTTGTGTTGGGGGTTTGAATACTGTCCGGATTCCCAAACCGATGCATGTAGTTTCCTCAGGGAGTAGATCTTCCATATTCATTAACCCTGTTAAAACATCGGATATTTTCTTATCGTCCTCTCAATTTCGTAAACAACACCCCTGCGACAAGAAGGCAGTGAGTAGGACTTCCCTGACAGAGGCTATATACACGTGGCCATGTAAGAGAACTTGAAGTGGGAGTGAGGACTCTTCTACATTACATTTATATCTGTACAAACATCTATAAAATCTGACTATCAGACACAACAAAGTATGAACAAACATCCACATCCACACTCATATGTTTACTGATAACAACACAATAAAACAATTATTTACATAAATACTACTTACATGAAACAGGATAGTGGATTTGATTCGTTAGTTGCAGTAATTAACTTATCAATTTCTAATTCACGCATACTATTATCGTCATTATCAGCATCATTATTCCGTTGTTGATCATCAATTTCTCCAGGCGATTGTCGATCACCATTATTATTAATTTCGATGGGAGTTGATAATTTCATTGTAGAGTCTTTTTTTAGTCCATCAAGTTTATTAGTATTACCATTACTACTATTGTTAATAGTGTTAGAATATAATACGTTGGAAATATGTCCCTTAGTATCACGTGAATCAATAAGATTAGAACTTGAAAGAATCTCTGATGATTGTAAAGCTGTCTTAGTAGTATCAGAACAATGAGAATCATTTGTATCAATCTTAGCTAAACGTAGAGTAAGGAATAAAATGAAGAAAAAAAGTTTCTAAAAAAGGGTTCATTTGCAAAATATGCATGGTAGTGTACTTAACTTCAAGTTACATATAAAATACATGCTGGTTAGTGATACTAACTGGTTAATTAAATCGAAGAATAATTAGATTAGGATTTGTATCGACCACTTACTGGCTGAAAATTGAACAACGTAACCATTGACTAACAAAACAATTCAAAACGTATCTTACTCACTCTTATCACCACTACAATTATTGCAATCTATTTAGCTGTTCAACCTGTTAATTTAACTCATTGTGCTAATATGGTATGACAATTTGAAATAGTTCACGACTAACTGTGGTAGGTGATTTATTGATTACAACCGGCTGACTAATAGATAAATGGAACAACCTTAATGGACAGTCTCTGCCTTTAGTTTACGATTGTAGAGACTTTAATTTTATTGATATCATCAACAGATTCAAGTTAGAAAATCATTGAAAACCTGGAAGAACTAGTATGTGACCTTAAACAAACTGGTGTAATCAGTTCAAGGTTTTTATTTATCAATTACGGGATCATGAACGAATATTGTGAAAGAGTCTCAGACGGAGACAAAATAAACTTTCAATACTTTAAATCTTTCATATTTATCCAATATAGATCAGTTTGTGATATATCAATAAAATTTCTATTTTGTTGTTGGAACACCAATCATTTCAGGACTTTTTCATTGTAATTTTAAACTGTTTAAAAATGTGTATATTGTGAAAAAAGTCAATAATTTATAATAAAGAGTTAAATGTTCATTATTTGATATTCTTTAGTTTAATCAAATATAAGATTATGAATGAAAGTAACAATGATCGAATCGTATATCATTGTGAACTGAAATTCTATCGCAATTTATTATAAAGATGTCGTATTATATATATATATATAATGAATATAGGCAGTAGTGATTGGTGAATAATCGAAGACAGAAATATTCAGTTATAACATTAAATCTTAAAAGAGTCCTACATGATTAATGATTGATATTCTATTTGAGTTCACTAATTAAACGCTCAGTAGATTGTTTAATTCTTTTGATCCCATTATCTGTTATCTGTCCTGCAAGTAAACATATATTCGAAGGCAATAGTTATTGATTTTATAGACTAGTATCAGGTTGCCTACTCCTACTATTTTGTAGGCTTATTTTTACGTCAGCTAGTAGTAAGCATGTCAGTAGGTAGTAGTTATGTATACCCAACACAAAATTAGATTGTCTCAAATGTTGAAGGTATAAAACCTTACAATTTCATTAAGTATGAATTCAACAACACTCACTTGGTAATTGTCCCAAAAAAATGTAAATACCTTGGATAGAGTGACTATAAATATTTCACAATCACACATATTTTATACTTTCATAGGTCTGTTAAGTAATACAAACTATTGAGCAAAATGCTTATTCTTTGAAAGACAGATGGTAGATAATGCGAAAAAAAAGTTTTTTTAAATACAAATAAAGTACATTCACTCACGTTGAATAGAGAAGCATTGATTATCTTCGTTACAATCATAGTCTCTATTATCATCCAATTTAGGCGGTGGCTTACACATATAGTCTATATCATTGCATATATGTTTTTTGCCTTTAATACGTAGATGTGAATTTTTTCGTCTTTTTCTTTTCATATGACGATAACTAGGACATTCTGAGTTAATTTCATTCAATTCATGATCTATTAAAGGCGATTTACAACTAATGGAACTAGCAATACTACTACAACTGGGTGAACTGTTAAATTCATAATCAGATCCAATAGAGTCTGAATCCTCTTCCTCGTCTACTTCTTCATCTTCTAACTGAGATGATCTCGGCGATGATGAAGTTGACGATGAAGTAGAATAATGTTTATCCATGTGTAAATTAAGCGAACATAATGAAGAAGATGATGAAAAGCTAGTTGATGAGTCGTAATTATCAGAATGAGATTGTTTCTTCAATCGATTTAATGAATGTTTCTTATGTTTTCTATGATAATTTGTTGTAGATGATGTGGTTAATGAACATGTTGGTTTTATGTCATCCAATATGGGATTAACAGTGATTTCATTTGAAGGATCATCTTTCATTCCATGTCTAGCATCTAATTCATCTTCTTCAATGGTGTCTAAAAGATTTCCATCATTTGATTCTTTCTTTTGAAGCTTTCCGTCTATAATAACATGAGGTAAATAGAATAAAAGTGAAATATTTCAAATGTATACATTTTGACTACTTGTAAGTAGGATGTAATAAAGGTAAGAAAAAAATAAGCCAAGACCAATTTATTAGAACTATACTAGGGAATTTGAACGACTTACCAGTTATTTAGAAATACAGTATTTAATTCTAGTGTTGATATGATTAATAAACCTTTTAATCGTGAATTATTCATTATAGTAATCAAAAAAGCGGTTAGAAATTAAGGTTAGAGTAGGAGAACGTTACACAAATAGACTTGTCAGAAGACTATATGGCTTGAATCACATCAAAGTACGCTCAATGACAAATAAGTTTAAAATACTATCTGTAGCCAGATCAGATGTTTCTGGCAATACGGATTGCATACTAATGCTCACATTTACTGTTTAGTTTGACAACAAATGAAACGGCCGTCCAGTGCTTCCAGGTTTTCAATGGTGGTCTAGCTTCAACTGACTCATGATTTCAACTTGTGAAATTTCTTAAACTCTCCACAAAACCCATTCTGAAAATGAATTACTGTTGTACACGCCAAGCCTTCTACATATGATACCGTACGTGCCACTGCTTCTCTCTTTCGACAGTGATTCTTACAGTCAACGCCATTCGTCAGAAAACTCAACTCGATGTCACCTTCCTGTGACAGACTGCACCAACTAGTGAATCCTCTTCTAGCCCCGCAACGGCGTCCACAGGACTGAACCCTCTCCGCCTCACGTTTGGTAGCGAAACCAAATACAGTGAACAAACTCAATGTGGGAACGATCAATTTATATTCATTTCAAAATTACAGTGTCATTGTAAATTGTGCAAATCATACACTAAATACTTCATTTGCACATCTTCCATCATTTGTCATTTACATTCTTCATGATACTTCTAATCCCTTTCTGTTCTCTTCAATTCAATCTTCTTCTGAAAAACATTCCAATTCTGATCGGTGTTACATAATACTTTCATTTGTCAACATAAGTAGCATGCACCTCAATGGGATACTTCAGTGACAGTACACATACACAGAACAGATCAAATACTGAAGTATGTTGTATAAAGGGAGAAATGAAATTTTAAATTCAAAACATAATACGTAAAATCAAAAATGTTTGAAGCTTACCATTGGATATTGAATTCAGTGTCTAAATAATGAGATAAAAAATGTACAAAATAGATAAATCAATAATTGTAACATGAAAAGAACCTATAAAAAAAAGTATTCAATGATCAACAGATCTATTTTCTACGAAGAAATGTTCAGAAATTTCAGGTAGAACAACTCTGTAGTACAAAATAACCCTACTGATATAGTAAGATCATGTGAAATACCAGTTATGATCAAATCATATTAGGGTAATGATAACCTGACGTATTCAAATTTTAACAGAGGGAATACTCATAATAAAAATTATAAATCAATCAATAGTTGAATGTTAGGTAGATTAATTGGACAACTCAGTTACATATTAGCACATTTAAAAAAGCGCCCCGAAATGTAAACTATCATGAAATTGACTGTTGTATTGAATTCACCTCTGACTGATTGATTAAGTTATTCAATCGGCTGTAACAACATGTAAGAAGAATATTACAATGTACAAACGCAGAGACCTGGGCTTATGTAGAGTTGTTATTCTCGTCAAAGTGGGAATTAAAAACTTATCATACACTTAAGAATGAATGTTTCTAGAGACACGATCATTCTCTTATGTGTTAAAAGGGAAAAACAAATTAATTCCCAATTGAATATGAGGTGATGAATTAAAGTGAGTTATGAATAAAAACTGGGGTAAATATGTTAAACATGTCGATAAAGCAGAGCATATTCATCGAATCAGGTGGTTCGAAAACGTGCAACATATGCATAACCACACTCCCTAACTAAACATGTGAAATTACTTGATGATGGAAGCTATTAATAATTGAACTAATTCATCTAGGTAGACGAAGACTAGTTGGTTAGAATTCGAGAAATTATCTTAACCAATGATTAAAGATTTTCGGTGATATATTTTAATTATAATCATTTTTATTGGTAAAAATATTAGTACTACTTTGACTTCTTTGCTATTCAACTTGTTAATATCTTCTTGTCGTGATGATATAGTATGATAATTTGAATTAAAGTACATTCGCGCCAGATTCTATGGTGATTATAAAAGAATGATAATTGATAATGTTGTAACATTGATTCTCATTATTGTAAATTAAATGATTTCATTAATTTCATTTGTAACGCTTTGAATCTTTCGTTGTTGATATTTTGACTAAAGTTTTGATAAAACTTAATTGGCATATATGAGCCTTATGCGGACTGCCCTAATGTAATCAAGACTCGTATTTCGTTCTATCTAGGATTCATCAGCTGGATTTACCCGTATCAACTATAGGATCCAAGTACATACAACTGATAAGTATCAAATAGGATGAAACACACATCGTGGGTTTCACTATAAATAAATTCACATTTATTTAATTAGTCATTAATTAAACTTCCTGGTCTCTATTCAAATCCGTCGATAAACAGTAATTACTCGAACAACACATAACCTTAGTTAAACAGGAAATAAACAAACAGACAAATATTGTAAATTACTTACTTCAGATGGATTATTAATTTCCTCTTCTTTCAATGTACACTTCAATTCACCGTATTTTTGTAAATAAATACGACAATCAGAACAAAGAAATCGTAATTGTCCCAAATGATGATGATTAGGCTAATAACATAAATTAAAAAGCATAATTCAAGTTAAATAATAATAAGTCATTATATTTTTATTATGAACATTGTGAGATTAGTTATGCCTTAAAGGAATACACTGAAAGATCAAGTTATCTACAATTGATTGATCAATCAAGTATTGCGATCAATGCAATGTTTTATTGGTCAGCAACTGATGGACGAATTCTGTCAATCAAGTTGCAATATGGTCACTAGTTGTCTAAGTGATTCTACATCGTATGTATTATATTAAGATGTAAGTGGTAGACAGGAAACTATGCTTAACCTAGATTTAATGTTAGTTGGGACTTTTAAAGTTGAATATCTCAATGGTAAGTCTCAGATAGTCAAGCTAGGTAGCAACATCGAGATAACTAGTTTCGCTACAATTACAGGTACACTTTATGGACGAGTAATAAAAAGTACAAAACCCAGGTCAAACAGAGGTTTTTGTAGACTACATATTCACTCTGGGATTCGAACCCACAGTGAACAACTTTGAGATGCAAGTACATCCAGTCGAAGAGTCACAAATAGGACGAAACGCGCACTAGACTGAATTCTACTGCCAACCACTATCCATCTTTGCTTAGAATGCTTGTGAATTAAGGCTATAATAGAGGCAGCAATACGTACAGTATGCACATATGCCAATAACAAACTAATCAATTACATTCCTAAACATCAATGGGAACATTCAAGTAAACAATACCAAGTGAACTTAATAATAATAATAATAATAAATTTTAAACTATTTTCTTTTCAAGAAGAGATACATTATTCAATAGTTAAAAAGTAATAAACATGGAAAACAAAATATAATTATGGTTAGAAATGTGTTCAGTTAGATGGTTGTTAATATTCTTAAATAAATGACGATCAGTTTTAATTTTTATATGTATATTCTGTAAACAAGTCACTAGATATAGATACTTATTATAAGATTTTATGAAATAGATGAACTGTGGCTAAACACAAAAGAATTTAAGATGTGAGTTTTGCACTTATCATTTGAGCGAGATAACTTAAACTTTTCTACTACTGATGTAAATATTATAATCATTGAACAGATGAGTAGTTACATGAAATCTAGCTCAATTGGATAATATGATGACGTTTGTAGCGAAAAGTAACGGGTTCGAGTCCCCGACAGGAGTACCAAACATTGAACGTGCAGACATGAACATCTGATAAGTTGCAAATAGAACGAAACGTCCATTTTGAATTCAACTGTTTGTTATATACAGTCTATTTATTTCAAATAAATTTACTTGTTTGTTTTGTGTTTTCGGTGGCCTGCATCACATCAACTTATGATTTACTGATTAGTTTTCATTCATATCTCGTATTTGTCACCATTTCCCGTCTCTATTCTTCATTATCCAACTATTAACATATATTTCTTATTACGTAATTTTATTAATGTTTTATGATTATTATTTTAAAGTCGATATATCTAAGTTTAACCTACTACTTCCAAAGTTGAACTATTTATTAGAATTTTTGTTATACTTAACACTCCTACTAGTATATCTGTTTTCTTTGTACGATCAATTTATACTTTCTGCCTGATATATGAATATTTATGTATAATAAAAGTTTGATGATGTGATTTAGTTAGTGACAATATTGCTTATTTATATATAAATTCATCCTCTGTTAACCGAACATGAAGTAAAACTATCAAACTGTATCACAAAGCGAGTTGTGATGTGGAATCCTAACTGCAAACAAAAGAGGAATATCAAGGAATATATTGCATCAGGAATTGGAGACAGATATTAAAGGAATGAATAGCAATTTTAAACGACTAGAAAGGATTGGTTAGGACAGAGTTTGATGGAGAATCTCAATGGGCGGTCTAAGCTTCTACTACACGAGGGGTAACAGTAAGTATATCTGAATTGTTCCGATTTTGTATTTGTTTAACTTAACTTATTAGCCAATTCATATACTTTTAATAAAAGTTTACAACCAATAATGAGAAAAATACAGTGAATATTAAGTTGAACTACCATTACCACTAAGCTTATGATTATAGTGAGCGTTAGTACAACTGTTACTTTGTTTGTACTTTGAAGATACAAAAATCGAAGTGACATAATTGGGATTCATGTATCGAATGTATTACGAGAGCAAAAAAAAACATCTAGGGATTTAAGCTGGTAGTGAACTTTACCAGAAGAAAATAATTGGTAGCTAACCAATGTTAGTCAATTGGTCAAACAACCTAGAAGTTGGGCACAAATGTGCATTAACCTAAATTATTCCATGATAATAAGGTATCCATTCAAAAGAGTGTGCATTAATAAGGTGGATTATTGAAAGGCAGACCATAGAAAAAACGCATACAATTAAAACTGAGCATTGAAAGGGGGGTAACATTTTTAATGATGTGAAATCTGTTCGATTCGCTATCTGATTTCATATTTTAGGATAAATCAAAAAGTGGCTTTCTAAAAGTTTAATGAAGAGTATACTTTCATCAAATACTGTAATTCTTGAAGTTTGGTAACGAAATTGTTATTTTTATTACCCTAATCATGTTATTTATTATTTATTTGAACACATAAATATTGGTACACCGAATACATGTGCACCACACAAGTCACTTGATTTATGTATGGGCTGTGATGCTGCCTGGGTGCCCAGACCGAAGTAGGTGATTTTCTTAGGGGGCTACACCCCGAGCCTTTGACCTAAAGGTCTGATCCACAATGCAGTGCAGCATCGTGAGGAGATGCAGTCCCGTGGTAGCCGGTGACAAACAATAAATTCGTACACCATTTGTTCCTTTACGATCCTGGAGTCCATGTGAACCATTGGTTTGGAATCAAAGTTTTCCAACTCCTCTAAGCGGAACCTCCATATCCACACTAATCATGTTATCTCGTAAGACCAACTCGATGTTTCGAAAATGTATAGTAAATGTTTGGTGAATTTCACTATAAATTAAAATTCTAAAAACATCCCTTTCTTTTAAGATTAAAAAGACATGAATTATTCTAATTAAATAGTCTACTGTCGATCTGTTTTCATAATCTTCTACAGTCCGTTTAATACGTACTGCTATCTTTCATTTTAGGTGCTGTTGCTAGCCTACAGCAACGAACTGTCCAGTTTTCAACGAATTTACATTATTCTTTTTTAAGAGTGTCAATAGGTTTCCATATACCTGGATGAGCAGCACCAACAAATTAGCTGAAGCCTCTATGGAACCCCGCCACCATAATATTCGTTTTAGGAAGGTTTTCCCCAACAAATGGTTAATTGAACAGATTTCACATCATTAAAAAAGTTTTGTTCTCCCTTCCAATGCTCACTTTTATCAATATGCACTTTTATAAGTGTGTAACATTCTGCTTGAGCCGTTATTAGTGTGAACTACCATTAGCTGTCGTCGCAAAACGTTTATTCACATATATTTCACTGGGATCGTGAAACCGATCTAATTTAAACAATCGTAGGAAAAAAGGGAGTACTAGACTACTGTTTCGTCTTATTATGGTGCTCTTCAACAGTCAACACGTATGATCTCGCACACAAACTCGAACCCAGAAGCATCAGTATTGCACCCGGACGCTTAACTTTTGAAACACTAAGTTGGCATCTAACAGATTTAATTTCTAATCTAAATCAATCCACGGTGAGTGACCATCTTCCATAGTTTTCGGTAGGAAACTGCCTCACATTCGACATGATTTAGCTCTACCGATCAAAGCTTTTAACTAGTACACCGGAAATTCCCTCTCGAAGCTAGTCACTAGTGAGAATACTAAGACGAAAAGGCCGTCCAGTTTGATAATTTCATTGACATTTAACTATTTTCACACCCCATACTGAAAATTACATACATTTATATGTTTTTAATATTCACAATTTAAATGAAACTCGATGCAATATTTTACATTTTGTGATGAAAATACTTTATTATACAGAATAAAGCGATTTTTACTGTAGTTTAGAGAATGATAAATGCGTAGTTGATCTCTAACCAATATACATCGATTCAACATTAAATTGATATAAAGTTAGTCATCGTTTTAACAAATAGCTTGAACTGGGCCCATGAATAATTTGAACTACAAAATAGTACGTCGGACATGGAACAATGTTGTTAAAATTTAAACTGTTACATTTGTTTGTCACACTGCAAGTTTTAATGAGTTTTACTTTTATTTAAGTAGTACAGTTAGTACTGTACGGTCTAGTACTATTAGAGATATGAGGATTGTTGTTGATTCCCAATTGGTCAGACCATGGAAGAATAGTTCTTCTTGAGGTACTTGAAAAAGCTGAATAAAGAGTGGTCGTCGTGACCTGAGAATGTGACTGCAGAGCTTAAAGGAGGACTGCTTAGGACGGACAATATGTGACATTTTTGAGAGTAGTTTTACATGAGTTATCCTTCTGTACTATAGACGTTTTATTGTCGGAGATAGAAATCCATGGGACACTATAAGGTTTCCCGTCCGAACTATTCTAACTCCTTCCTTGTGTTGTTAGAAGGCAAATTGTGATTGTCTGAAGGAAACACAACACTGCAATCAGGCCATAAGACAATCGGTAGTACGACTTCATCGGATCATGAGTTTATCTCCTTTAGTTCTATCTAAAACCAACCTGCCTGGTATGTTAAGACCTAAACAAACAAGTGTACCACTCAATATAGTCCGATTTGGTCAACATGATATACAACCTCGATCGTCACATCAGAATGAAAACTACGGTTATGGAGAAATACAATAAAATGTCATTTCAGCATACATACCATAGGTGAAGGCGGACTTTCCCCAGTAGATGCCAACTCCACAGAACAATTTCTACATACACGTTTACGTGATCGACTAGTTGACAGTGAATCCGCACTTGATGTTGTAGAGACTGGTGTAATTTCTTCTGCTTTCTCACTAGATGTCACAGGTATATCAACATCATCATGCCCAGTGTTAGCTAGATAGAAAATTAAGAGGAAAAAAAAATATGAAATTTTTTGAACATATACTTTCACAAAGAAATGATGTCAGTCACTGATACTGAATACCATCGTTGATTTCAGGTTTCCTCAGAATTGGAAATATGTCTATTTAACACTACAGAGAAACATATATCATCTCTATTACTTCCAATCGCATGACCAACAAAAACAGTTGTGCAGATTATTTAATTGGTGATTGAACAGTTCTATTTAATATTGATATCGGACAGGGTACAATTTAATGCATCAGGTTTTATGTAACTTTGAATTACAAATAAGGAAAAACACTATTTATATTACACAATGATAATTAATAATAATCAATGCTTAAAACTAATGCATTCAATTTTTGTTACAGTTCACAACTTGTCTCGGTTTGGGCACCCAGACAATATCATTGCCCACACAAAAATCAACTGAATTGTGTGGTGCATAAGTATTCGGTACCACCATTTATGTTTTCAGATAAAAAAATAAATACGGTTCACAATGAGGAATTGGTAGATTTTAGATTGAAGCAGATATTTGGAGAAGGGGATTATAGTCATCGTTATATTACTCATATTCTAAGCCTCTGTTTGGTTCATTAGTTTTTTATATATACTTTATTGTCCTTATATTATCGAATCATTGCTCGTGTATATTAAGATCACCGAATTAGCAACTATGTAGTTAGAGGTAGAGTGCTAGGTAAGAAAGGTAAATTAATTGAATCAGTGAATCTTTATCGACTGAGATAGTTAAAACATGCATTACGTATACCGACCTATCGACTGCCTAGACATGCGACAATGTTTGGTGTATGGATAAGTTGGAAGAAAAGTAGGAGCAACCGAACTAAGATATGGCATCAGTTCATGAAGTCATCGACTTTTAGTATGGCTCGTGTAGGTAAACGCAGACTACCTGATTCAGATTCTGGTGATTATCAGAACTAATGACTGGAAACTTTCAATGGCATGGCTCGAAATTTTCTCACAATGGTGCAGTTCCATTCACCCATTACCTTCCTTTAGATCATTTTTTTTAAATTGTATCGTAAATATGTTTATCCCGAAAATCAACAATTTTTCGAATCGTATCTTTTCTACTACCACCAAATACTTTTACTACCTTGTACTGCCCTAGGATTTCCCCTGACAATTTGTTATTAGGGTGTGGGAACTTGAACCAATGTACACACATCTGACAGGTTCTATGTTGCGTATGACTATCTGACTGATTAAGATTATCGTTAATTAATTATGGAATTATCTATATCATTTATGGTTTGGTCACATACACATTATAGTTTCTTGTTTGTGGTACTGTGTGACTATGCCGTTAATGACATATAAACCTATGCAGTTTTTAAATCTTCATAGGTAGAAACAAATACAGAATGAAAGAGTTTATCACCCCCTTTTTTATATTCATCTTCTCACTGCCCATTTGGGGTTCAATGAAGTTCATGGAATCAAAATTTCTTCTTGGTCATTACTCATAGTAATTGTGTTATAGATCGAGGTTATTGGCATAAAGATGATAAACCAATTCATCATTAATGTTTTCTATAATCATATAGAGATTAAATTACATAAACCCTATGAAAAAACAGTATTTTTATTGTTGTTGTTGTCAATTTTTAAGAGAGTAAACAAAATTATCACATTTTCTTTTTTTTATTACCTAAATCATAATTCTCTTCAATTTCTGATTCAGGATGACTTGGATCAATCGACTCTGATTTATCATCATTCATCAATGTTGATTTTGAATAATTGACTTGTAAAAAAAAGGGGATAATGAAATATTATTACATAATAATATTATGAATAAATAAATAAACGAATACGGTGAAACTATCCCCCCCCTCAGATACATGATGATAATAATGGTAACCATTACATTATTCTTAACAATTTATTCAGTATTGCAATACAGAATCCCTGTCAGTATAAAATTCTAACAAATTTCTCTTAGTTTTCTTATACACATGAATATCATGAAATAAAAATCATTTAGAAAATTTTAGTCAGTCAGTCAGCAACAACGTAGAACTTCGTACGTACGTACGTACATCAGTTCGATTTGCCATACCATATTAGCACAGAGATGCAATTGTTGATTCAAATCCCATAGTGGTTGAGGGATATGAAAATTTAATGATTTCATATCGAATTGTAACAAAACTCGAATTAATTCACTTATTTACAAGTCATGTTTTGTAGTTCGAAAGCAATAACAGTGAAAACAGCAACAGCACAAACGACAACACATGAAAACATCCAACTTGTAAACACTATAGTGTCAAGAAACATCAATAGCCAAGCGATCAGTATTAATAATCAATAAACAACCGATTGATAAAAGAGTAGTTGTTGTGGTCATTGTTTTTAACCTATTACAAATTTGTCGGTAAAAAAAGTTTGTAGAGAGAAGAGGAAGCAAACAGAACAATTGCAGCGGAATGCATCAAGTGCACTGTATGTTTGCATCAACTTTAATCTGTTACATATAGTCAGTTAATCGGTCAGTCGACTGATTAGCTGATAACTCTGTACTGATTAACGGTAATAATCGATTATCGATTGAACACAATGCCATCAATTCTTACTATTCAGCTTATTGCACAAGCCAGTGGCTATTTTGGACTCAGTAGCTAAGCGAATAAGGCGATAATGTTTGGAACGAACAGCACTGGGTTCGAGTCCCTCGATGAACATCAACTCTGGGAAGCATGTGTATCCAGCTTAGTACGAATCTCGAATAGGACGAAACGACGCGCGTCATGGATTTCACAACTAGCTACTATCCGCGTCTGCTTATAGTGCTTGCGAATTAATGATAACATCTAGCCGTAGAATGCGCATAGGCCGATAAGAGACTGATCAATTACAGTCCTAAACATTAATGAGAATATTGAAACAACCAATACATATGAATCTCAATGGTTAAGATCATGAGTCAATTGAAGCTAGACCACCATGAAAAACCTGGAAGCACTGGACGGCCATTTCGTCCTATTGTGGGACTCCTCAGCAGTGCGCATCCACGACCTCGCCCCCTGTGGGATTCGAACCCAGGACTTACCTCATTACTTAACTTAATATCATAAAACTAATAAACACATAATCAACCACAATGGGGAAAAAAGCATTTACTCAGATAAACACACACACACATTGATATACATCAATATTGAAACATTGAAAGACATTGATTGACAAGAGAAAAACTCTTCACATATAAAAAAAACTGTGAAACGATTTTTGTTTCTTTTCAACAAAAAAAATGGTAAATGAAAGAAAGAGACAAGCAGAATTATATTAAAATAATAGTAATTATAGTAATTAACTAACTAACCAATCGACCAACCAATATTACACTTAGTCAATAATGAGAACAAAGAAGAGAAATGTAAACAATGATAGAAGCGGTAGCAACAATTAAACCTACACATAAAAAACAGAACATGAAGCAACCAGGACTAATATTTTTATTAAAAAAAAACAGAACAAATATGTACACGCAAAAGCACACACCGTAAACATTTATACAAATAGATATACACAAATATACATATATATATATATATACCAGTTTTTTGATGTTGTAATTCATCATTCTTTTTATGAGTATTATTATGATTATGATTATGATGATCATTCTTTTCATATTTCAATGTTAATAATCTTCGTAGTTCATACTCTGCAGCTTTACGATGTTCAATGATACCAAGCCAAGCTTGTTTAGTTACTTCATTCGAAAGGCGCATAAATAGATAGGTAGATAAATAGATAGATAGACAGGGAGGAAATAATATTGATAATTTTTATTTTTTTTTAAAAATAGGGAGAAAAGTAAACGGGTAATTACAATAATAATAATGATGATGATGATGATAATAACATTAGTGATGAGAAGAAAGAGAGGATTATGGTATAAATAAATAAATAAATTCTTAAAATCTCTTGTTAATTAGATGTGAAAATAATGCATAGATTTTTAAAGGGATTAATGTTTATAATCTCACAAGCACACACATATGAAATCATTCAAAAAGAAAGTAGGAATCATTACCAACATTGTGATCACTATGGTAGTAGTAAGTTAACAATTATTAGCACGAATCGATAATAATTGCCCAGGAAAATATGAAAACAAAACTTTTTTTAAAAAAAAAGAAAGAAATACTACTTATAATGTGAACAGAATTCACAAAATAGGACACATACACACACACATGTATAACTCATTGAGGTTGACAGGATTAAGTAACATGTTGACAAGTTCGTTAATTAAGAATTAGAGAGAGTGAGAAAATAATCATCAGTACAACAACGAGAACAACACTGATAAGTAGACAAGTACACAGTGAACAATGATCTCTCTAGACTTAGACAACAACACATTTATAGTCCTATAGTTTTGTGTGTATGTGTGTGTAAATGAAAGGGATAATAACAGTAATATTTGATTATCATGACGAAGGTATTTATAGAAATTAGGTGGTTAGAGACAGACGGGACGAAACCTTATTCAACCTTTGAGAAATGATGTCGAGTTACTTGGATTAGTTGTTATATTTTAATTTGATCGATAGATTACGACCAACCTTACAGGATAAACAAACATAACATTCATCACCACTTAGCGATCGATTAATGTAAAAATTCCAGTCATACAGTAAGTTAAGTGGTTACGTTTCAGACTGTGAAGCTGAGTGATACTCATTAGAATGCCACAGGAAGCACACCCAGCTAGTATACTTTGTCGAGGTTGACGTTAGGTAGGGATATGTAATACATGTCCTAACCATCTTTAATCGATGAAGATTTACAATCTCATCAACCATACTTGTCTAATATCTTGATTGTTCGCTAAATCGTTTCACGATACAAGATCAATCAAATACCAATAATCAATCTTACAATCTGTAAAACTAAACAGAGGTGAAACCAGGTAATAATGCATAAAAATACTGCTTAAAAATGTAATTGAATTAACAATTAGAATAGTTTAGAATTGAATAAGATCACTTAACTACAGGACCGTAATTCTCATCGACAACTGTGCAGCATAAGTATTTGAAACAAATGAATAAATAAATATGACTTATGTTGCTACATCATATCAGAGCAAAGAAATGTCCTATTTAGTGGAATTATTAACAGTAGTAGTGGTAGAAAAAAAAAATATGGGAAGGATGTCTTAGATCATTCTAAAACTCAAAATGTAAACGAAACTGTAGAGTAAATGTATTTGTGCTATTGTGAAACATATCAACCAATCATTCACTGGTTATAATATTCGCGCAGAATCTAACCACTTAGCCTACGCCTATCAACATGGCTTAGTCTAATAGTTAATAATGTCATGAATTAATGGGAAGCATTGATTCAATCTCCCCTAAACATCATTTCAATTTACTTCCACATCAGCAAACATTGAGTGCTGAGGTAGGCGATGATTGGGTTTACATTAGTACATACCTCAAAAGTTACCAACCGATTCATCATCATTACTTAGTATTGTGTATATAAACTCACTATTCCCCATTTGGCGATCTTTCTGAACTAAAGAAAATGATGGAGATAATAAAAAAGGAAATATTTTTGAAAAATATGTATACATATAAACTTACGAACACAACCACGATTAGTTGGTTTCCTTTTCTTAACACTGACAGAAGTGATATGAGCTTGAGTAGAGAATGCACTACCATTCAAATTATTAGCTGATTCGAAAGGAGTTGTTGTATTGCCGCTTAATGAAGATGGGATATGATTATTATTAGCACCAGCGACACTAGTATCATTAGTAGTAGTATTAAGTGTGGCCGCAACTACTGCAGTTGCAAAATTCGCTGCAACTGAACTCAGACCACCATGTCCACCACCCCCTACACCACTAATCGATGCTGATGACGATGAGGATGAGCAAGACGATGTACCTTTCCGTTTCCAATAATAATAAAAAGCTATCAATTCCTTGACAGTCTTGATTGGTTCGTTTGTGACAGGAAGACCTGTGGATAGAGTGCTTTCATCATTGCAATTTGATCCTTTTAGTGTGGTGGATCCTGTAACAACAACGAAAAGAAACAAAGTGCAATATTTATATTGATAAATTAAACTTCCTCCACCTTTCGTGACACTTCATTTAAATTTAAGTTAATCAAAGTAAATATTGACAGTACAAGCAGACTAGATATTGTAACAGAAAAAGATTTCGCTCATTCAAAGTTATTTCACTCAAAAGACAAGAATGAACAAAGAGGATAGTTCTTCTCAATTGGATTTTCGTTGGAGTGTCACCAAAATATCGCTCATCAAAGTCTCTGGAGGCTCCAAAAAAACACCAGCTTTGCAGAAACATCTAGACAATGAAGAATCACGTGTTATGTGCTGCTACTATAATTGGTAAGTTTTCAGGCAGTTCTAAAAGTCTACGGTCATTCAAAACTATAAACACCTCTAATTTTCTGTAGACGAACTAACCTTAGAGTAAAACTCTTACTCGCATTCTTCACCTTTTTCTTAATTGTTCCGGTTGATATGTAAAAGAAATTTTAAGTTATAAGAAGCTCCTTAAAAAGCAGTTATAAGCGTTAAGGTAACGGACTAATCATTTTCATCGTTTCCCTACACAAATACATATATATTTATTTCTTCTTCCCACTGCTTATCTTTTTGCGAATATAAATAATAGTGATGTTACAGAATAACTATATCATAAATTTCACTAGTGATTATCAAAATATCGTCGAATGATTAACGGAGTGAAACAGATATCAGCAATGACAATGGGCAGTGATAGCGCAATATTGAGAAATGGCTGATGGCCTTGGACTTCTGGAAGGTTCTGGGACTGTACTAAACCTAGTAGCAGGATAGGTGATTATCCAGTCAGAAACGTGACTCCTCACTTTTTAGATGTTTCTGAGAAACCTCTATCCAGTGCCGATTGGATAAAATGTTTACCAAAGATTTCACGGTCCCTTTCAGTTTTTTTCGAGGAATACTCTAGATCTATCTATCTATCTTATCCACTTATATCAACACATAGATATCGGTACAAGGATGCACCAAATACATAGGCGCTACACAAATCTCATTTGATATGTGTGAGGGCTGTGATAATGCCCAGGTGCCCAAACCGAAGCAGGTGGTTTTCTTAGGGGTCCACACCCCGAGCCTTCGATCTGGAGGTCTGATCTACAAGGCAGTGGAGCATCGTAAGGAGATGCAGTCCCATGGAAACCGGTGACCAAAAATTGGTTCATACGCCATTTGTTCCTGCAGGATACTGGAGCCCACGTACACCATTGGTTTGGAATGAGGGTTTTCCAACTCCCCTAGGTGGACTCTCCATGTCCACCAACCAGGATAAAGCGCCAAACATTCGCATTTCGTCCTCTTAATTTCATAAACAACACCCCCGCCACGAAAAGGCAGTGAGTAGGACTTCCCTGTCAGAGGCTATATACGCGTGGCTATGTGAGAGCATTTGGAGAGGGAGAGCGGACTCTCCCCACTCTGGGCCGTACCAGGGCATTCGGGGGCTATATTATGCTCTAGATCTCCCCAATACAAATAATTTGATTTAGCAAGTATATATATAATTTTATGAGTATCATAATAATAAATGACTGATCACCGAGTAGCGAACAATATTGGGAAGCATACTAGGGTGATGAACACGAATAAAACATGCTTTTTATGCTATTTTAATTCATGACGCCGTAGAGGATTAGACAAAGGATAGTAAATCACGAGATCCCTTCTTCAATTTAAACATCAATGGCATTCTGGAAACAGCTATGAAAGAACTACGTGTTTGGCCTTATAAATGTAAAAGATCGTTGTACGACTGAGATGAATCTGTGTCAGCACCCACTTTTTATGGTGACATATTAAATATAATTGAGAAGTTTGTGGATACACGTAGTGTGTGTTAGTAGCAGTGTGGAAGATGAAATAGAGTGAAATCTAGAGTGGCATAAGTCCTTCTGGGATATCCTAAGTGCTGTCATGATGACAGTCTGTATGTAAAATTTTGGATTTACAACTCATCGGTTGAAGCAGTTCTACTTTATGTTAGTGAAACTCGCACTATCTGAGCTGAGAATGTCCAGGAATTCCCTTTGTTCGATTAGTGTTATCTCCGAAGGATTGGTCACATCCGTCAGCAACGCCATCGTCAAGTTAAACGAATTTTATCCCAGGTGCTCTCACATCGCTCATTATTTACTGACACTAGAATTGAGCACAAAAAGCTGAGAGATAGTCAGTTTGTGACATGTCGCCGTGGAATGAAAGCAGTACAGGACTAGGATCTGCCAGTTCATCAAAACTCTTCAGTTGACGTCCTCGAGATCGTGCAACTGAGTGGTTTGCAAAATTATCAGATATAGCTTATAATAAATGCCATAATAAGAGAGATTTTATAACTGAAAGAATGTACTTTAGGTTTTACTTCAGAATTAACAGTATCACCTATTGAGTACAATGCTATTTCATTTGTTTATTAACTATATTATCATTTTTCCACAGTATCTCCATTTCATATGTGTGAGGCCCATCTTTGAAACTATGCTGTACCATAGCTCATGTAGTTTCAATGAGTAAATAAATAGTATATTGATAAATAAACCTACCTGACACAATACCGTTCTCAACTGATTCTCCACCGTCATGTGATGACCCAGAGGTAGGTACAAATGTAGCATCCTCTTGTTTAACTTCATCCAATTTACTCGGTACCACTGTTGCTACTGAGGTACTACTGCCGGTTTCATCTGATTTTAAACTAGATAATTTCAATGTAGATGCACTTGAACAGACACCGCTACCGCCTGTGCCGCCCAATTTACGACGACCACGACCACGTAAACGTCCATTGCCAACTTGACTTGAATTCCAGAGGCCAACACCATTTACATTATTTCCATTATTGCCGGTAGAGTTATTGTTATTATTATTATCATTATTATTATTAACGAATGTTTTCCCACCAAAGAAATTTCGTTGAATTTTAAAAAAATCTTTACCATGAATACGTAAAGCATGTGCAAATAAACGAACTTGATCTGTTGTCCAATGTCTAGGTGTATCCTAAATAGAAAAATAATTGGTAATAATACCACTACTACGTTAATAGATCAATGTAACACCTATAGACAAACAGAGAATCAAGTCACCTCATCTAAATAAATATCCCAGAATGAATCATGAATTGTTGCATAACTGTAATTAAATATTCCACTCAATTGAGCATACAGAGATTAATTAATGATATAGATAACCAATAGAATTTTAAAATATAGATAGAGGTTAATCGGTAGCGTGCGAGACCGAAGGTCTTGGGTTCGAATCACGCGTTTCAGGTCGTGGACACACACTGCTAAAGAGTCCCATGCTAGGAAGAAACGGCGTCGCAGTGCTTCCAGGTTTCCCATGGTGGTCTAGCTTCAACTGACTCATGAACTCAACCATTAAATTACTACAATCTCCAGAAAGACACCCATAAGTTTATTAATACAGGTTTCCAGTGTCCATTAAATGTTTTAAGTTAAGTACAGCCATAATCAAGTAATGGTTAGAGGTAGTCGACAGGAAAACCTGGACCTAGGTTACCAATATCATGTATGTCAAATCCTTTTTAGTAGTGATCGAATTCCATCAATCTGTCAAGGAGCATCATTTACCTCAGGATTACAGGCACATCTTGTTGACAAGTACCAGGTAACACGAACACTACGTCAAGCAGGTTTCCTCATTGACCACCTCCAACCACCACCTTGCATCTCAACATAGTGCAGGTGATGTGCATTAACTTAAATTAGTGGCTACGTTGCAACTTGATCGATACAATTCGACGAACACTAAAAATGACTTGCATGACATTGATCAGTAATCAATCAATTGTAAATAATAAGTTTAATAATTGTTTCTGTACGGAAGAGAAAAAAATAGAGTACATGTAAAATACTTTCAAATGGTGTGAAGTTATTTATGACCTAATAGGTAGTGACAAATTCCCAACACCTCTCAATTTAGTTCAGGGTTGAGGAAAGCAGAGAGAGTAATGTTACTTTTCACTGATAATAACTAACATAAAACTAAAAAAATACGAACGTGCACATGGTAACTGAGTTCGTGATTTCATCTATCTGAATTATTCCTGAAACGAACGCATTTACAACGTACAAATACATGTTACATTGTTCGTGTGTAAAGAAAGGCCAGTGGATACTAAATGATTACTCAAACTGTAGTAGGTCAAGTGGAGTTCAAACCCGTGATTTATTGGTTAAATATAAAGTTTATTAACCCGTTGGATGGAATGGTAGTATAGTGGTTAAAGTTTTTAGTCTTAAAATATAGAGTAATAGGCTTGAATGCCGCTCTAACTACTTCGGTTTGAGCAATCAGATAGTTTCACTAGCTCTTAACACTTAAAATATAGCTTGAAGTAAAATGCACTAATCCGTACAGCGTTAGCTACAAAAAAAAACGATTAGTGTTTTTGTAATGAGAATGAAAAGAAGAATTGCACTTGGCAAAACAACAAATTACCTTAGCTACAATAGGATTACATGATATCGCTTGCAGGGCATTTCTTAACGAATAATTACACTTATGTAATGTATCATAAGCATGTTGTGTTGTTGCAGCTAAATTAGCCAGTACCAGACCATTTTCAGCTGATGCTAAATCATCATCAGCGCCACCAAATCCGAAAAATGCCACCATTGACCGTACAGCATCTAAATAATTCTTTAATGGTTCATCGGAAAGCATAGAATTGAAATCAGTGCTGATGTTATTTGATACATTACTAAAATTGTCATTGATATCATTAAGATTAATGTTATTATGATTATAAGCAGTGTTATTTGAAAAATCAAATTTCTTAGATGTACCAGACAGAGCAGAGGATAAACCACCAGGACTCCATACAAGTACCTCTTTGCATTGTGATTGTTGTTGACGCCACCGCCGTCGTAACCGACGATGTCGTTTTTTCCTATGATGATGTAATTGTTTTCTATAATATGAATGATTCTTGTGCATACACAAAGAATGATGCTTTCTATGATGAGAATAATCAGTAGTAGTTATAGTGTTTAAAGAATCTTTAAAATCATTTGCATTCTCTAATTTTGGCGGTAAATTTAACAGTTGTATGGAATTTTGTGTATCTAATTGTTGTTGTTGAACATCTATTTCAACATTGTTATCTTCAGAATTTTTCATATCTTCTGATAAATTTGGTATAGTATCTATTTCACAAGTGACATGATTATTACTACTAATAAGATTGTTATCAGTTTGTGATAATTCTAAAGATGTTTTTAGTGTTTTATTATTATTCAACATTGAAATAGTAGAATTATTGTCAGGATTAGAAATATTCAATGTATCATTGATTGTTGGTTGATTTGTTAAATTATCATTATTATTACTACTATCAGCAGTAGTATTAGTAGCAGTAACTGACTTCATTGCTTTACACCGGTATTTACGACGATAATACGGTGACAATGAATGAGATTTTCTTAAACAACATTTGAGTGTATTAACATCTTGGTTAGATTTGTATGATGTTTCCAATTTAATTTTTGATTTGTGACTACGTTTAATTGATCGAAAACTGCCTCGACTATGTCCAAAGCGATACTTAGCTGGTGGAGAATGACGAAATTCAGGCAATAAAGCTTGATAGGCTTGTCCAACCTGAAAGAGACAACAAGGGAAAACACATTAAGAAATCAAATCATATTAAATAATATTTCAGTGTTAGTCAGTTATAATCAATTTAGGGACTAAAACAAATGTGTATGTGATCCAAGTTCCCAAACTACATTAGCACAAGAAGATTAAATTTACAAGATGTGTGGTAAAAGAGACTGGAATAATGTAGTAGAAATGGCGGTGAAAAATACTAAGTACTGAGAACAACAGCAAATCATATTTCCGGATACACTAATTGAATACTCAAATGAACGAAATCAGACGTTGGTAAAGTGATATATGAAAGATAATGTTAAACGGCTTATCAAAGATTCATGGCAATCCTTAACACTTGAGACCTTTTGGCCATATATGGAGATTAGAAACATTTGATCATAGAAAATGCAAATGACGGAAATGGGTTGAAATTGTCAGTTTGAATACAGTGGTCTTGAGCGCTGTTAAAGGCATGAAGGCGATTTACACTTCCCGGTTGCCCACACCGTGGAAGGGTTCTTCTACAGGTAACCGAAAATGAAATTGGATTAGAGCTGGTCTTAGTGACTCGAAAGCATGACCATAATGCGCAAGGGAAAATTGCTTGAGGCCGGTCACACATGAACTTTCTGTGAATAATCTTCGTGTTAGCTCCTTACTTGTTGGGACCTTACCGCCAGAGACTGATATCCAAAGGATAGGATGAGGTGTGTATTTTAGGGTCGACCTATTCTAATCCCACCCCTCCTCGTGGGAATGCAGCATCGTTGTTATGCTAGGTGTCTGAAGGAAACACCGTACTGCCGTCACACCTCTGTACAGTCAGCAGTGTGACTTCGTTCTCAGACCTTGGATTTGCTGATTTTAGTCTTATCACTCTTCAACTGAGCTGTCTGGCATTGTAAGGCATTGAGAAACGATTGTTCCAGCCAGTATAGTTCGATTGGTTCATTACGATAGGCAAGCCCGACCACCACGTCAATATAGCAGCAATGGTCGGCCACGTCCTAGATTTCACCACTAGTTATAATTCAGTTATTCGATAAAAAATCCGTTGGTATTATTTTCAAGATTTCTTTGTCGAAGTTATATAAAACTGAAGAATAGTGATTTTCAAATCACGTTAACCTGATTTATTTGGTAGTAACATTATCTCTAGTTTCATTGTATGTATAATCGACAGGTATGAAGTATGTGTCAAGCATTTAATAGATTTTCGTAAACAAACTCACATAAACTACAAATTAAAGGATAGAAACTATTTGTTTATTAGGACTAAGCAACAGAAAAGACACTTAATGTACAACATTACAAACACTTGTATATTATAATTTATATTGATGTAATACAACATTCTATGCAAACATGAACAAATAAACAAACAAAAAAATTATTGTATTCAAAAAAAGAAACCAAACCATTCAGTTCAGAGAATAAAATTCCATCAAAGATGAAGAAAAAAAAAGAAACTGATTAACGTACTCGTATTTCTGCACGAATTTTTGATAAACGACGAGTTTCAGGATTATATGCAAATACATAGAAAAAACTATCATCTTCTTCTGGTGAAAATGTAGATAATGCAGTTTTTAAATCAGGTAAATAATTCACTTTACATAAACCACGAAGTTGTTTAGCTGGTAAAGTTTCTTGAACTTCAGAGACAAATAATTCACGAGCAAATATCTATTCATGATAAATAGAAGAATAAAATGATAAAAGAAATATTTTTGAATACTTATATACATATACTATGAAAATTTCAAGCTTAACTAATGACATAACCAAAACGAAAGATACAATTCAGTGATGCAATTCAATGAAATTATAATAATAACATAGTAATTTGAAAATCAAGAAAGTAGATCAACGTTTTTACTATTGTCTCTATATAAATTACATAATATGAATGGAGCAAACATCATATATTGTTTGCAAAATATGTTTTCTATTCAATGTCATACATCAGTTTCATAAGTGAAACACATTAGGTAGGAAAGAGAAAAAAAGGAAGAACAAGGAATTGGAAGCAAGTATCAAAAGGATGAATAGTAACTAGAAAGGATTGCCCAGGTTGGAGTTTCATGGAGAATGTTAATGGGAGGCCCACGCTCCTCCACAAGGGGTAACAAATGTAAGTAAGTCTACGCCTACTAACACAGTTTAGATTTTCTGAACTGATACTGAACCTTAGTTTGACATCTCGTAGCTTTTATTTAACGTACACTTATTTATTCAGAACAAGTTACCAACATAAAATTCATTACTATCTTTACTATTATTATTATTCATTCTACGAGATCTATACGATTCATATCTGGTGAAATGAGAATCATTCAATAAATATGCATAGATTTAGGCAGAATACTGTAGATGACAGAATAATATTCCTCTTGGTAAAGTTTTAGGTATCAGTCAGTCAGTCAGTCAGTAACAACGTAGAACTTCGTACGTACGTACATCAGTTCGAGTTGCCACACCACATTAACACAGAGATGCAGTTGTCGATCCAAATCCCGTAGTGGTAGAGGTAGCAAGAGTGTAAGCAGTGATCGGGAAGATTAGGGTTTGGAGATGTTATTTAACGAGTATAATACAGTGAAATAAACTTGGGAAGAGAAAAAAAAGAGACAAGGAGGAATCAATAGATCAAAATTTGGGAGAACACAAAGAGTGGATGCACCTGCGCCATTGCAAACGATTTTGAGCCATGTCATTCAGGGTCTCTAACCATCGGTTGCTATCATCTCGCGGTCCCCAACCAGGTAGTCTACACCTACCAACATGACTCAGACCACTTGTCAGTGACTTCAAGGACTTGTGCCATGTTTCGGTCTGGCCGCCCCTAGCTTTCTTCCAATCTACTCCCATACCACTGAACATCGCACGTCGAGGCAGTCGGTCGTTGGGCATACGTAACACGTGTCCCAGCCATCTCAACTGATGAAGTTTCACTACTTCATCAATTGATTTGCCATCCTTACCTAGTACCCGTTTCCTAACAACTGTGTTACTCACTCGATGGTCCCATGATATACGAGCAATGTTTCGAAGACATCTATAGTCGAATACTAGTAACTTACGAATATCCTCTACTCTTACCGGCCATGTTTCACTGCCATAAAGTAGGACGGGACGTACTGCTGCACAGTAAACCCGTCCTTTGGTTGATAGACGGATATCTCGCCTACGCCATAAATGACGCAAGTTGGCAAAAGCTAGTCGAGCCTTCTGTATCCGTGCTGATATTTCGTCACATACCAGACCACAAGGGCTGATGAGACTTCCAAGATAAGTGAAGCGGTCGACACACTCAACTACTTCACTCCCTATCACTAGTTCGGGTGTCGATGTAACCCAATCCTGAAGCAACATTTTGCATTTCGAGGGAGAAAATCGCATACCGAACGTGCTTGCATTGTTGCTTAGAGTGGTCAGAAGACTCTGCATTTTGTCAGTGTCTTCGCCAAATAAAACTATGTCATCAGCATATTCTAAGTCAACAAGTGAACCTCCCGGTAGAAGTTCAACCCCTGGAAATTTAGATGAGGAAAGTGTTATCTCTAAAAGTACGTCGACCACAAAGTTGAACAAGAATGGAGATAGTGGACAGCCCTGACGAACACCACTTGAGGTAATCAATTCCGATGACAGTTCGCCATAAGCTCTCACTCTACCAGTAGTGTTCGAGTAGAGAGCCTGAATAAGGTTAATGTACTTCTTTGGTACTCCTTTCAGTGACAAACACTGCCATAGAACCTTACGATCAACAGGATCGAATGCCGCCTTAAGGTCGAGAAATACTACCATTGTGGGACGATTTTAGGTATCCGATTATTGTCATTCTCTCTTTCACTGAATAGAGCCCGTTTTATTGTCGAATGCAATAAAACTGATAATTTGTGGTAATCAACATTGATTAGACAGTGCGCGCGCGATTGGTCAATATATAGCATCAATTTATAAAGAATGAAAAAACGTCACAATGGTGGAAAATGTGATTTAAATTTCAATAACACGAATATATGTAAGTCTACAGTTATATTTCGATTCAGATAGCCAAAAATGCTTCCTTCTCACTCAAGTAACTCACTGTATCAGAGTCAGACACTTCACAATAACAGAAAAAAAGATTTCCTATTTTGTTACTAGTCTGAGTGGGTCAGTAACTCAGTGGAAGTTGTTCTGCTTAAACTTTTGAGTCACTCTTTTCCAAAAAGTGAATTAATTGTCATAAATCTTAAGTCCATTAATTATATCTCCTAACCATGTGTATTTATGCATGCTTTCACAAAATGTTTACAATCTCTCCAGAAAATAATTACTGAACAACCCAAGAAGTACTATCACAGTGATTCTCATGTTCTGCACTTTATCCTTAGTTCTTTGGAGGATCAATAGGTGATCACTATGAAATCCATACGTCAGATATGTTCGTTGATGAAAAGCGATATTATGAAAGCAAGAATGATTGTAAACATTTACGAATGTCTAGTGCCTCCAGGTGAATAGCCTCAGAGTTCTAGTGGAAAGCTATGACCAGTGAAGTTCAAACTTGTAGGTTATGAGGAAGGTATTCGCTGAAGGCAATCGAAGATGGTCATGTAATATTGTAGACTTGCATAGCACTGGATCTCGGCTCATTGTCCTATAAGTGTTAAGCGCTTATGTGAGTGATCTAAGGCCCTGTTTTCGATCCCTGGTCGTGGAATCGTGCATATACACTATCGAGGAGACCCGTAACGGCTGTTCAATGTTTCCATTTTGCTAACGATTGAATAACTTACCACTCACTGATCGCTTACAATTCTACTCTTATATATTAATTATAGAGCAATGGCTTGATGGTTAAAACATAAGTCATAAGTTCGAATCCCATTTCACTTACTCCGGGTTTTGACAACTGGTCATTATAATTAACACTCATATACATAATATGTCACTATCGTAAGGCTTAAGTATACAAATCTCGATTTGGTCAACACATTACATCATCATTTTAATTAACCTTCAAAAAAATCATTAATTTCAAAACTGAAATTTCTACAATAACACACCTAAATGGATGTTGTAAATTAGTGACAAAGACTTTTGAAGAAAAAAAAGTCATCACCTTATAAGGCATTAAATACTATCTAACATCTAATATCTTTACTCTATGACTGACTATCCTCCTTAATATCTATCATGAATTCTCATAGTAATAATAATAATAATAATAATAATAATAATACAAGGAAAAACTATTTCATTGTGTTACATTGAACAGTATGCGTGAGCGTACGTCTGTGTGCGTGTATGTGCATATGTGGACATATCTATCACTGCCTGTCTATCTCCCTATATATCCATCCATACAATAGAATCTAAGATACTACTATCTCAAACACATGAAAATTATTAATAGTCCATCAAATAAAAATCTTCCAGTCAGTTGATTTGCTGTTTCTATATAAAGAACAAAAAAGATGTATTTAATAAATAGTAGCAGTGGTATATTACAATGACGATGACGACTACTACTACTATTACTACAGACTAGTCAATAATGACTTAGATACAAAAACAAAAATCAAATCAAATAGAACACAAAGATTTGGGGCAAACGAACAAGTGAGTGAGAGAGAGAGTGAAAGATGCGCGAAATACAACAACATACACACACACACATGCGCGCATAAACATCACTTTCGATTTACACAATAATGATGAATAAATAGATGGATGGATGGATGGATAGGAGGATAGTGACATATCAATTGAAAACAAACAATTTTATAGACACATCACACACACACATACTCTCCCTCTCTCTCTCTCTCGCTAAATGTATATGCATGTGTGTGTATGATGTAAACCGTATATACATATAGAAACACACACACACACACTAGGAACGCCATTTAAACGAAGTGAGTACGTGATATGATACAAAGATGAAAATATGAAAGAAACAAAATAAAGAATCCTTGATAAACTTACATCACGAATTAATTTAATATTTGAATGAATTGGATAATTATCTCGATCAGGAAGACCTTGTTTTGAAATATCCGGTATATCACGTGTACGATAAAAACATTTAATAAATATTGAAAATTTATCACGTCTAGATACTTTAATTTCTTCAATTAAACCAATTGTATAATATTCAAAATCTGGTTCTTCATAATAAACAAAATCACCTATGATTTCAACAGAGAAAAGAAAAAAGGATCATTTATAATTTGTAGGAAGTAGGCAGTGAGATTGTGGATGTACACTGTTGAGGAGTTCTACAATAGAACGAAATGGCCGTTCATTACATTCAGGTTTTCAATGGTAGTCTAACATCAATCAGTTCTTGATCTCGATCAATAACCTAATAATCATCATAACCATATAATGAAAATAAATGAGTGGACAAGAATAATATTAAGTAGTGACAGTTAGGTTTCTTTTACGATTATGAACAAGAAACCTGTCAATGGGTATATCTGTAAACGTCTGAAGTCAGTGAGTTGTACGACCTCTACAATTTCAATTAGATAGTTGTAGTGAATTAATAAATGCCAGTCTTTACAGTTTTTCCTTATACCATAGCATCCTAAAGAAAGTGATTACACGTACCTTGGAATTATCTTTTGTTGTGAATCAAAATACGAAGTGAGGAAGGTGAATTTTAAGACTTGAAACAAAATAGTTGATGAAGTTACAAATCTATACCATACTTTTGTACATCTTGATGGTTGACTACCGCTACCTACCTTGATTCATAACATGGATTATATCAGAGTAATCGATAAAACTTAAGAGGAAAGGAAAGATATGGAAAACCATAATATAGAATTAATCAAATTTTTACTACTGATCTGCAGTTTTTTTGTTTTGAATATATTAATTAGTTCTATATTCGTTGATCTCACTTGATTATCTATTTTTCCACCTGTTACCCACATAATGAAATAATATAAATTGACGAACAAAATGATTGCTGAGCTCACTCAGACAAGTACATATTAGATGACTCAATTAGTATGCGACAGATGAAGTATTAATTATTATGAGATGTAGATCAGTAAGAATAGATCATGTAAATTCATTTATGTAAAAAGTTATACCTACCTTTGATGTCCCAGTTTATAGTTTACACTACATACCTAGAGCAGAGCTTGTTCTTTCAAGTTGCTAGCTACTATGACAAAAGATAAAAGCTAGTTTCGCTACAGACAGGTGGCATATGTGTATGTAAGGGTTTATTTTTTTGTTCACATTAAGGACTGCATCTGATCAGTCTCTACTGGTTGATGTGCATCCTGAGTGAATTGTATGGATATTTGCCTTAAGTATAACTTTTAGAAAAGTTAGATTGTGGCTAACAATGGATGTGTGTTTTATTCTGCTTGGGACTCGTCAGTTGGATATACCTGAGAAAGTTACTGAGTTTGAGTCCTGATGTAGACATCAATACTGGAATATGGCAAATAAATCCAGCTAACGAGTCTCAAATAGAACGAACTATGCATCCCGAATTTCACTGTCCAGTCAACCAGTAAGAAACAACGTAGAACTTTGTACGTACGTACGTATATCAGTTTGAGTTGCCATACCACATTAGCACAGAGATACAGTTGTCGATTCAAATCCCATAGTGATAGAGGTAGTAAAAGTATAAACAGTAATCGAAAAAATTAGGGTTTGAAGATGTTATTCAAGGAGTATAATCCAGTAAAACAAATTTGGAAAGAGAAAAAAACAAGGGACATGAAGAATTAAGAAGATTAGAATTTGGGAGAACACCAAGAGTGGATGCATTTGAGCCATGTCATTCAACGTCTCTAACCATCGGTTGCTATCATCTCGCGGATCCCAACCAGGCAGTCTACACTTATCAACATGGCTCAGTCCACTTGTCAGTGACTTCATGGATTTGTGTCATGTTTTGGTCTGGCTGCCCCTAGCTTTCTTCCAACCTGCTCCTACACCATAAAACATCGCATATCAGAGCAGTCGATGGTTGGGCATAGGTAACACATGTCCTAGCCATCTCAACTTATGAAGTTTCACGGTTAGTTACAATTCGACTTTTCTAAAAAGACGTTACCTTGAAAATTGTCTATAAGTTTTTTAAAAGAAATTAGTTTAAAAAAATACCCTAAAAAATGCATTAAAATCAACTGTTGACCATTACTCTACATTAAAAATGTTAACTTTTGAGATGAACTTCACAAAAACAAAAAAAATACATTTCTAAACAACACAGTTTTAATAAAATGTCAAACGATAGAAACGTTGAGATTATTAAATCAACTTAATTTTCATATTCCTTAAGTATTTAGTAGTAGTCTTTTTACAATTAGAATTAATTAACAAGCAACATTACTGTTTATACGTCTTCAATAGCTCTCAGTTTTTTCTTGCTACTACAACACATCAATTTTTCGTAATTAATTGTTCACTCATCCATAATTTTAAATAACCAATCATTTCACATTACTTTCCATTCAACCAACATTGTATAATGTCGATTGATGAATTATTTTACATTTGCTTACTTCAGGCTGTTGAAGTCAATTATTCTAAATAGATTGTCAGTTAGTTATAATTAGAGTAGAAACTGGAACAAATGTGCATTAGCACATGTTTCTATATCACAGGAGCAAGATGAGGTGACATTAAGAAGGGGGAGATAATGAGCGAATGTATTTGTGCGATTGTGAATAGCTATGAGCCATGTCGCCTAACGTCTCCAACTAATGATCGTGCAAACTTCGACCACATAGTTTGCATCAACTAACATGGTTTAGACCAACAGTTAATGATTTCGTGAACCGATGCCATGTTTTGATCTGGTCACTCATTTCTTTCGTTCAATTTACTCTTACACTGGTTAATGTCACAAGATAAAGTAGGTGATGGATTAAGCAGGTGTAATACATGTCTCAGCCACTTCAGTTCATGAAGATGTGTTAACTTACTGTTGAGTACAAAAACACTAGTATCAAATATTTGATACCAGTTGATAGATGGGATTTTGTTTCATACCTCGATCATATTTACAACCGAACAACACTAATTCTGACCAATTATTGTGCGAAAGTGTTGTCAATTAGTGATAGATATATAAACTGTGGAATAAAATCTCATCTGATAGTAGTCTAATGAATTCATAAATTCTTACATATATGATGTGTAATCCCAAAAAATAATAATTATATTCACACGTTCTAGGTTCTAAGTCAATGCAAACTCAATAATTAGCCTAATGATAGAATTGGATTGTACATTTAATTTTGTATTCAGTATCAAGATTAAACTAAACTAACATAGGGTAAATAATTTAAATATATAACTGGATTATAGATATCGTATAACACCTGAACTAAGGATAGGGAGTGAAGTAGTCGAACGCATCGACAACTTCACTTACCTTGGAAGCCTGATCAATCCTAATGGGCTGGTGTCTGACGAAATCTCAGCACGGATTCAAAAGTTCGTTTGGCTCTTGCCAACTTACATCACATATAGCGAAGGCGAGATATCCGTCTATCAATTAACGGATGAGTATACTTAGCAACAGTTTGTTCTCTTTTACTTTACGGCTGCGTAACGTAGCCATTAAGAGTAGATATTCGTAAGTTACTAGCCTTTTTTCACAGATGTCTTAGAAATATTGCTCACATCTGCTAGAATCACCGGGTAAGTAATAGTGAGGTTAGACGTAGGGTACTAAGGAATGATGATGGTAAATCAGATTGTGAATCTTCATCGACTGAGATGGTTGGACAACGTGTCACACATGCCTGAATACCGATTACCACGACACGTATTGCTGACTAGTGTTGGAGACGCTGGAAGAAAGTTAGGGGTGGCCAAACCAAAACGTGGCATCAGTCCATAAAGTCACTAACTCGTGGTCTAAGCCATGTTGGTAGATGCAGACTACTTGGTTGGGGTCCGCGTGACAATCGTAACCAATGGTTGGAGACTCTGGGTGATATGGCTCAAAATCTATCACAATGACGTAGGTGTATATACTCTTTGTCTTCCCTTAAACCTTGAAACCAAAATTACTTTATATCTTTATAAATCAATTCCTCCTCTCCGTATCATATCCTTTTAAACAATCTTTCTTCTATATATTATAACCACTAAAGTAAGTACTTTTATGAATTCGGTGTTCATCTTGTTGTGCTAATAACGTGTGCCTGGCTGACTGAGATAATATATTGAATTGGAATAACATGAAAATTACAAATTCTTTAGATATAAGCATGAATAATGGTCTTAGCAACATATGTTTGAAATTAAAGGAGAATTTTACTGTAATCTCAATTGGTGTTTCAATTTAAAATTAAATATTCATATTTTTTACATAGTCAATAATAAAGTGGCAGTTATGTGAAATCGGAATAATTTCAAGTTATGCTAGTATTGTGATTTCTGAGCTAGACATTTTGATTAGGAAGCTTCTCATTGAAGTATGTGTTGACAATGTTATTCACAAGTCGAATGAAAGTTTAACAAACAAACTGTTTACAATAGAATTAATTTGTTAGATATAATTAGTAGAAACAATTCTAGCAACTGATATTAACGAACAAAAAAGCCGAGTGCCCGAAATGATAAAGGTAATACATTCAAAAACTATATCACACTTAAAATAACATTACAGAAAATAGGGACATAGACAAATAACAAACCTGTGTGATATTCAGTACCCGAAATAATGCATGAAGGAACATGATCGTCTGAAGTTCCATCATTATTATTATTACTGTTTGCATTATGAGTGTTGCTAGGTCTGCCTTTACCACGTTTACTGCGTCGTAAAGCAGGTTCCAAATCTTCAGTGATTGTTTCAACTGGCCGTTCTTCAGTTGTTACATTATCAGTCCGGCAAGCATCGTTATTATTATTTTGACTTGTAGCTGAATTTGTTTTAGAACCCTGACTGGACAAAATATCATGACATTTTGCCGATGGATTATCTGATTTTTCCATAGTACAAGAATGAACAATATCACTTTTTAGTGACAAAGAGAAGTCTTCCATGTTGAAATCACTAGCATTGGTAAGATTATAAGTGAGTGACAGAGCCAGATATACTCAATCACATTTAGTGAAAAGTAAATATCTAAAAATGAAAGGAAAACATTTCCACTTATTCAATAACTAATTTTTTTCAAAAACCAACTTATTTTCCAGGTACCTGTATACGAGCCACACTAAGCTAAATGCTTAATGATACTACTCGGTTGTCCAGTCCGAAGTAGATCAGGCAGGATCCGAACATAGGACTTAGTGAAAGTCAAACACCTCAATTACTACGCCACTGCTCCACTGGTAATTAATCTAAAATATTGACAGAAAAGTGAGGTATGTTGTTATAACAGAAGACTTGTTTAACCCGGCAGCTACACCCAACATTGTTAGAATACGAACTCCATTGAAACTACGTAGTTGAATCGTGGCATAAGTTGCAAAACATTTGTTTCCCTATCAGCAGTTCGTCAAGTTACTAGCAGTTAACACAGAGGTCTATGAGCCTAAAACTAGATGTTTTGACGACAGATATCGCAGTGCGTTTTCTAGATTCGTCCACTCTTGCGCAGAGCGAGAATTTGACTAGAACATGAGACTAATTACTATGCAAGTTTTGGGAAACATCATCCGGAAATCCATATCACTCGACTCTCCTCATAATGAACCACGTAAATTTATCTGTATGTACGACTGCTACATGTCAACTATACATATAAACGAAAAACAAAATTCACTAGTTTAATGTGATGTAACTCGTAAGTTATTATGTAAATACTAGGGAATCTTTTAGGATAACAACTGGGTAGTATTGTACATCACTGACTAAGTCCAAAATGCTACTAACGTGGTCCAAAGAATGGAACTATCCAACAAACTCATAACAAGTTTCCAACAATAAAAACAAATAACCGTACATCACTACAATGAGTAATTGGTGTACAAGGCGTGATCTTGATCAGTTTGAGTACATCACTCTAAAAGATGATTTTATAGCACAACTTTGTAAAGAATAAACGAAGTCCTAAAGTCGATAAATAGGATTGCTGACATGTAGTAATCGTTTAAGTTATTAGTATAGTGCGTGATTAATGCATTCAAAACCACAAAGTAATTCTAACAGTTGCTTATGATCCAATGGTTGAAATTCTAATGACTGAATCCCTAAATTACAATCTTGCTAAACTTACTTGAAATTCCTGCCCACACAGCCAATTTACTGAGCACAAGTATACTTGAGAAACGACTCATGGTACTCCATTAATTCGAACTGTGACAAATTTGTTTTGCAGTGCACTGGCCCCCAAATGCCCTGGTACGGTTGAGAGTGGGGAGAGTCCGCTCTCCCTCGCGAAATGCTCTCACATGGCCACGCATATATAGCCTCTGCCAGGGAAGTCCTACTCACTGCCTTCTCGTGGCGGGGGTGTTGTTTACGAAATTGAGAGGACGAAAAGCGAATGTCTGGCACTTTAATCTGGTTGGTGGACATGGAGAGTTGGAAAACCCTCATTCCAAACCAATGGTGCACATTGACTTCAGTGTCCTGAAGGAACAAGTGGCGTATGAACCAATCGTTGGTCATCGGCTATCATGGGACTGCATCTCCTTACGATGCTCCACTGTCTTGTGTATCAGACCTTCAGGTCGAAGGCTCCGGGTGTGGCTTCCTATGGAAACCACCTGCTTCGGTTTGGGCGCCCGGGCCTCAGCACAGCCCAAACACGAATCAAGAGACTTGTGTGGCGCATATCTATTCGGTGCCCCTTTGTACCAATATTTGTGTTCAAATAAATAAATAAATTGGAAGTGAACTAGGATTAAAAACCTTGATTTGCTAAATACCCCAACATCAAACTATTTGGGTCTAAATGGAGCACTAAACTATAACATACAACTGCAGCTGAAACGTTACGAAGTGACAAACATAAGGTTGCACAATAAGCAGGTACATCACATATTCATTAGCTTACATTATGTACTGATACCACAAAATTTTACACTGTGTGAGTAATGAGATAATCAGTCCTACATATAGTTGAATTTAAGAACACTAACTAGGAAGAACATTGCTGATAAGTTAATGACGCGTCATTGCTAGGCGAATCTAGAAATTTGGATAAGACGATTTTTAAAAATACTAAAACTTGGTAATTTCGCCCTTATTTTAGGAGGAATATGGACTCCATGGTGCTTTCCGATCTATTAATAATTCCAAGAATAAGTATTAAGAAATTTCCGATTTCATTTGTAACACGACTTAAAAATTACTCATTCTCTAAAAAGCGTCAAACTGAGTGGCTATGTAAGGCTTTTGTGGACAAATCTGACATGACAATGTTTTAAGACGTTTATTACTGTTCAAGACAACTAATTCGATATAGTCTTGATCAAATATGCAGTCAAGTACTAAAAGAAAACTAACCAACGATCATATAAGTTATGCGGTAATGCAACTAACTTAAATACCAATTGGTGAGAGGATTACAATTACGCGTAGTTTTGTATTTTGCTGAAATATAAGATTTGTCGAGACTATAATTTATGGACATAACAGGTCTCGGATTTTGGCTCAAAATTCACTCTATCATTTAAGATTACAGCTAATGTTAGTTTGTGATGAAAACCCGAAATCTATTTCCAAACATTAATCATTAACTATAAATTATAATTCGTCGCACACGTTTATGACACTCATTTGACCCCGGTTATTAAATGGACACTCTCAACGTCAGTTTAACATCGCTCACAGGTCATCCACAAATTATAGTCTCACTGGAGCTTTAGCTATGATAAGTTGTTTGACAAGGATTTCAACATTTATTGCCAGACATAAACAGAGCAGGACCTAAAGCAGACTTATTTGTACATGTACGTATACTTATATATATATATATATATATATATATATATATATATATATTCGTGAGAAATCGAGAAATTTGGAGTAGACAAGCTCAAGTGTCTTGTAGCCCCGTGTTGTCCTCTGCGACACCCGTCTTACCTATATCTATGATTTGATAAGCTTGTTGGTTACTCGGTCCATTGACAAAAGTTTGCGTAAGTAAATAATAATCATTAGGAAAGACAATTGCAAAACCGGTTAGGTCCTTACTTGGGGAAAGGAATTTCAGAAGTTATGTTGTCACACATCAATACAGCCCGTCAAGAGTGATTTAAACTTCGAAAAATGTTATTATGTTTTATAACCCTCAAGAAGCAAAATTTGCTAGCTAAAAATCAAGAATCCAACAAACAGTTTACAGAGAAAAAGCCGTACAGAAACAACTGATTCTTGTAAGGTCAGCCCTGGCGCCAGAACCTATCTACTAAATCAAACAAGAGTTCAAATTGAACCCTATACATAAAAATTCTAAGATAGGTAAGATAATATCTGTTTCTTGTTCTTATTGTGTTCTGCGAAATTTGCTGGTTGCAACCGCTGACTACCACGATAATAGAAATCACTGTTAACAATTATGTAATTTTCACGTAAAGTCTGGTAGATTAAGTAGTCACATCATTGTCAGTCCACAACTTTATATTGGGTGTATCATTGTGGTTGAAGAGGTAATTGCACTAACACAGACTCAGATATTAATCATACAGCACTGATAGCAATCTTGTAACTTTGATTGTAAGAATGAATCAAGAATTACGAGCCTATATATATCTATGGTTACACCTCACTATTGTGTCCGAACTCACTCACGCTATTTGTATTTATACAATAGCTTTATTTAGACTATTCTGGCTGATTTCAGTATAGCATGTCGGAGTAGTATTAGTCTTCTTAGCCCACTAACGTTTCGTCAACTACAGCAAAACTTCAACAGGTTATATCACAGTAAGTTTCACAAAATGTCCGGCATCTTGTGGTGTAGCCAACACTTCAAATGCAAATTCAATTCCTTCTCTTTTCGGATTATTGTGAGGCATATGTGACAACAAGATGATTTTTAAATCTTCATCTGGAGATGGAGCAAACAATGAATATACGTTCTTTATTTTTTTCTGGCGCTGCAGCTTTTGTTGTTATCATCTCAGCTTGAGGAAAAATCCTAAGAGACATGTTTTGTATGTGTTTAAGAAGTCACCGACTACAAGCTTATTCAACCGGTATGAAATGTTTAGCCAACCAGATCGGTTTTAGACATTCTCAACACAAATTACGGATCTCATTATAAATCATTTTTATAAATGTCACCACATATCAGTAACTGATTTTTAACATAGCCCATTTGAAACGCTGACCCTGATCTTTTGCTTTTATACTTGCCCTTTAATCTTCATATACATTACCTCCAGATTATCACTACGTTCTGTGAGACCGAACGTAGGTGTCAATAATTGAGGGCCTACTTGAATTAGACTGTAACGATGTAGCCTCTTTTCCTACTCCTAAGTCGCACCTTGCGATTAATACTTAAACGGAATTATTCTGCTGTCATAACTAGGTGGTAGAATGAATGGCGTCAATAGGCACAAGCATACCTTAATATTGACAGTTAGCAGGAGTAAAAGGAAAATCCCTCATCTATGACACGCACTTAGTTATCTTGTGTCGCTGGTCGACCTTGAAGAGGTTCGATAAACTGTTCAACATTTATGACTCTGCCTGCTGAATGTTTCGCTAAAGTTCCATGATGTTGTACTACATCTACAAATTGATGTGGAACCGAACATTTATTACTCGTAACCGTGCGTTTCTGCTTCGAGTTTCATAGTTTCATAAGAATAATGGAGCGATTGTTCAAGGTTGACTAATTTCATTCATTTCTTTAAACTAGACTCCTCTTTGCTTCTTGATCAAGCCAACGTTCCTATAACAGTCCATTTTTATCTGAGGCTGATGCAACAGTCTAATCTAAGAGATTATAAGTTAGCCGAGAACCTTCTACGAAACCTGAAACATGGCTAAAATATGTTTTCACTGTCTTATTTTGTGAAAACATAATACTACCTATTGTCTTGTACCGAATATTGAAATCTTTGTGTGTTTAAAATAAGAATTTTGAGCTTTATGCCTCTGGTTTGCTCGGTAAATAACTTAACACAACTACCTTATCTTATATGGAACGTGGGGTATGTAAAAGCCTTACAGTCTCTATGTACCTCAACTTCAGGAGACCTTAAAACCGAAGGTTTATAATGAATTCGTTTCATTAATTGTGGCAAGAGTTAATATGTTGGTGAATTTTGAGTTACGGTCAATACATTCCTTTTTAAATACTGCATTTGCTTAGACTTGACATTACTTGACTTAATGTTGCTTATCTGTGAAATATTCGTATCTCAATCACACTTGATGTCTGGAAATTCGAATATAAGTGCGGACGCAGAGTCACTTGTTCAGTGGTCTGGAATAATATTACTTCTCAAGATGTGACCGAAATAATTCAGCCCGTTATCTTTTAAAAGTAGTGAACATCGAGTGGACATACTGATATAGCAGCTCAGGAATGAAGCTTTAGCTGTCAGTAGATTTTGTGCATCTGTAACGGCAAAATCGGCTGCAGTTGGATTTGTAATCATAGGACCCTCCGAGCAAATCGGCCGACTTTTAATCCTTTCTGGTCCATTTTTGTCAAACACAGGGCCATTAAGTTATGAAAAGTAAAACATAGATATCCTGCTCTATAATGTACTTTTTACTTGCTACCAAAAGTTAAGTACTGGTTTCGCATAAGGCTCTGTGACCTAGTCAAGGAGTTATAAATAACGGTCATCTCTAGCACCCTAAATTTAATAAAATTACAAAGCAGTGGCAGTCCACAAATTAGTGTTCTAAAGAAAAACAAAATTGAGTTTGCTTCAGCGTTTTCATTGGCTTACAATCGTGTTTTATTTGGCGCTCGTATATAGTTTTTATTCATTTGGTTGACAAGTGGTGAATGTTAAAGTGCAACTTACACAAGAAATCTCAATATAAGCACCTGAAGTTCTATGTGGGGTAAAAAAGCCAGCGAAATCTCGATATCGAGAATGTGAAGCGAAATAAGAACAAATATATACCGTTGGTGTCCGTCGCCGAGAAAATAAATCGTTCCCTTTATTACAACATCCGTGGAAGAAATGTAATGTATTAGTCATACTTACACAATCCTCAAAGTTGAACGTGATATAACTGGGAACATAGATATTCATCATCTAACACAAGAAGAAGGCCAATAAAGTTGAAGGAGAGAATATTCATGCATGCAATTAGAAGTAATGGCTCAGCCTCACAGACGTGGTAATTCTGTATTACTTGTCTTTATTTACGTTAAATATATTACCACATCTTCAGCTTAAATGTGTTCTTCAGAACTATTAAGTATCATATTTTTAATTATTACGACACGATGAGTCAGTATAAACCTCCAAGTAAGATCAAGTAGATTAGTTAGTCACACCATGACAAATCTATACTTTTACGATTGGGTCTATTATTATAGTACTCATAACGAACTAGATCATAATTCTACAGAATGGTTACATGTCAATGAAATCATAATACTTACTAAACACCACCCATTCCTAATAAACCTTCATATTTTATGCGTTTGACACATATATCATGTGTATCTGAGAACAATATACTTCAGATTCGACATTTATATCAGATAATTCCTCTCATTTCGAAGACGAATCCGACCGAAATGATGATAGGTCGAACTAGAATGGTACAAACATCTCCCTTCTCAATATGGAAAGAGTTTCGTCTTTTTTTCTATCGGTACTAAAAGAAAAGAAATATGAGTCAAGAGTAGCTTTTGGCACGGATAACATGAACATAAAAACCAACACTAAATCTGAAAGCAGAGGGAAATTTATAAATCCAAGGCTAGATTCCTTCATCTTTTTTACTACTTAGGATGATGGAAGACTGACAAGTAAAAGACTCTTCGATTAATAGATGTGATAATTTAGCTTCCTAGGGTAGATGCTCAGATCATACAAGCAAACAACATTATACAGAATGGGCCGTCTTCACCAAGTGCGCTGGTGAATTTTGTAAAAAAGCGAAGGCAGCTTTCATTACCACGGAAGTGAATTTTCAAAGCTCTTAATAACAAGATAGAATCAGAAATGTCGTAGTTAGTGTAGTTGACATACAATAAAAAGTATATCTGTCAGAGTGACTAACGTAATCACAAAATTAACTTGGATTACTATCAAGGAAAATTATGCGGAAAGTATAAATCAGTGAAAGAAACAGTTACAACGTCTTGGTTTGTTTAAGTTAGTTGTGGTTAGCAAATGCCTACTGCCCCACCAAACATATCATAGATTCTGAAGTTAGTTCGTTGGAATCTATAGAATATTGTATTTATTGAGCAAATTGTAGGATTATACGGTACAGTGTAGATCCGTAGTCTCTCCGCTTTTATTGTATAAACATATATCTTTCATTTAACTCCGCATATAACCATGGTAAGAAACCAAACACGGATTGCATTGAAGGGATTTTTTTAATCATTCCTTTATTCAGTCAGAAATTCAGAAAAGCAGAGCGAAGAAGGCGAGTGTGGTAGTTTGCTGTGGTAATCACTGACATTGAAGAGCAACAAAACAGATGGGTAGAACACTTCAAAGAACTCTTGAATTGACCAGCCTCATAAAACCCACACAACATCGAAGCAGCACCCGCGGACCTCCAAATCGATGTTGGCCCATTAACAGTTGAAGAGATAAGCATGGCCATCAGGCAAATCAAGAGCGGCGAAGCAGCAAGACCAGGCAAAATTTCAGCAGAGGCATTGAAAGCAAACGTAGCAGTAATTGCAAGGATACTACACATTCTCTTTGTTATGGATGCAGAGGAATATACCAATCATTATCATGATTAAGTCTAATGATGTCCTTGGACTTTAAATGGACATTTCTTATTGGCCATTACTTATTTCACTCGTTAAATATTGTACAGATGTTGTTTTCTATTTCTATGGTACGATGCGGTCTGTTTGGTTGGTATATAAACAGAGTATTTTTGAAATATAACGATTCATAACTCAGAGGCTAAGATTTGTGTTCTGGACTCAACTGGCTGGGCTAGACAGGAAGGCGAGACTCTAGGTCGTTCATTACGTGTTTTCCGTGTCACTGAATCGATTGATAATACGCTTCACTCTAATCAGCAGTTCACCCGTCACAACAACTGGCACGGGGTAAAAATCGACCCAAGTTTAAAGTCTTAAAGCTCTTCAATAAGATTTGGGATGAGGAACAAGTACCAACAGACTGAAAAGAAGAACTTCTGATCAAAATACCAAAGAAGGGCGATCTCAGCAAATGTGAGAACTACAGGGGCATCACTCGTCTCTCAATAGCAGGAAAAGTCTTCAACAGGGTATTGTTTAACAGGATGAAGGACTCCGTAAACGCACAACTTCGTGACCAACAGGCAGGATTCCATAAGGATAGATCGTGTACATACCAAATCGCAACCCTACGGATCACTGTGTAACAATCAGCTGGATGGAATTCATCACTCTATATCAACTTCATTGACTACGAAAAGGCATTTGATAGCGTGAACAGAACAACACTATGGAAGCTTCTTCGATACTATGGCATGCCTCAGAAGATAGTCAATATCATACAAAATTCATATGATGGATTAAACTGCAAAATCGTGCATGGAGGACAGTTGACAAAATCGTTCGAAGAGAAGACCGGTGTTAGGCAAGGTTGCTTACTCTCACTCTTTCTCTTTCTCCTGATGACCGACTGAATCATGAGGACGTCAACATCTGAAGTGAAGCACGGGATACAGTGGACATCTAGGATGCAGTTGGACGATCTAGACTTCGCAGATGATCTGGCCCTTCTATCCCAAACGCAACAACAAATGTAGGAGAAGACGAAAGGTGTGGCAGCAGCCTCAGCTGCAGTAAGTTTCAGTATACACAAAGGGAAAAGCAGGATTCTCCGATACAACACGGCATGCATCAACCCAATCACAATTGACGGAGATTTGGAAGATGTAAAAGCCTTTACATATCTGGGAAGCATCATTTGTCGGAAGACTCCGCAAACAACCTTGATGAATCTCCTTTGAACACATTCATTATTCCTCAAATGATTATGCACTTAATTACTGTAAACTGGAACGCCATATTGAAGAATGGGTATGACATATATTTTATATAATGATAATCTCTATCCGATGTTATTAAAATGTATACGTACCAATCCAATGAGCCTTCTTGCTTCGGATACTTGCGATGCGATTCACTCGGAAAAGTCCAGTCTGTTGCTATACCTCAAACCCAAATGATGAACAGTGTTCGGGATTTAAGTACTTGTTTATGTAGAGCCAGATTTGGGTTAGGGCTGCGTCCAGCGTACAGTAATTGACAGATCCCACTACACAAACCACTGGTATAACTTGTTTATATCTTCCAAGTTTACCGTTGAAATATAGTTTTCCGAATAAAAGACGACAATGAATAGACTATATTTAAATCATCAGCAATGAGGAAAGTTTTAGCGGGTTGAAAGAATGAACATATGTCATTGACAAAGATGGGAAGAATAACAGGTCAATTGTATTTCCTCGTGTAACCCCACTGGTTACATTCATAGGTTTTACGTAGCAAGATCCATAGTGAAAGTTCTGCTAAAAAAGACTTGAACCAGAATAAATAGGGATTCTGTCGAATGAAGAAAGTTTCAGAACGTGAAGGTTGTACGAGACAGTAATGAAGGCCTTACAAAATCGAATTAAAAGGTTATCACCGATTGACCAGCATATCTTCTCTGGGCAATTTTATCAAAAATTTCAAAGTGTGATATCGATCATGAGCGTCTAGTAATAAGTCCATGATGGCATGAGCTAATCAGACTTGCTGAAAGTAAAAATGACAGCAGCTGCTGGTAGATGAAGTTTTCCATGATTCTTGATAGCGCAGACGTTAAGATGACGTAATCGCCGAACCCCTGGCCATACTGTCTGATTTGTCTCTGCGGCAGTCCTGACTACCAAGCGACTGAAAATGTGAAATACTTAGTACGGCGTATAAGGCGGTAGCAAAGACTCACTAACTAGCGACCCGTTGGTCTAACCAATGAGGTCATCAACCTAATGGGAAAGATTATTTGGATGTCTGTTATCGACTATGCGTAAGAGCGTAATCTTTTATTCAGGGAACAAGACTGTTTTCGGAAAGTCCAATCATGCTTGACAAATATGCTCATTGCAAGAGAAGATTTGATTGTAGCAAAAGATAGAAATATTCCCATATATGTAATTACTATAGATCCAAGTAAAGCCTTTGACAAGGTCTTTACTTCGAGCCCTAAATTAAAACGGGAGTGTTTTGAAATCCATTATATGGTAATAGACTGTATAAGTGACTTTCTCAGTGGTAGGAGACAGAGAGTAAGGGTAAATGGAGCTCACTCAACATGAAAACCTGTAAAAAGAGGAATTTCCCAAGGTGCAATCCTTGGTTCACTTCTTTTTATTACCAACTGAAGCAAAGTCATCCGTTCTACTTTTCGCAGAGGACATAATGATTTGGAGACCAATACATAGTATGTCAGATAGAATGGTATTACAGTGTCTTATCTCTTCCTTCCATCTAGTACTGATGATCTGAGAGGATATTATACGAATTTTCAAAAACCGAGATCAAATCGTTTACGCTTGGAGTTTTGTTTCTCTCACCGTATAGTGAATTATTGGAATTCTCTTCCATAACACGCAATATCAGCACTTTCTGTTGATATATTCAAAACGAGATTGGACATCCATAGTGTAACATACTGCAGAGATTAATATAAGTCGACAGACCTATTCTTATTATTGAAGATTGGTATTGTACTTTGAATAAACTTTGGTTTGTTTTGAACTATCAGTTGGAAGGTCTCAAAGCAGATATTCTATGAGCGGAACTGTCCGTTTGATAATGTTTATCATTTATGTCTTGTTTTTATGTGGGACTCGAGTAGTTTATTCCGATTTATGTCCAAGACAGTGTTTGCCGGGATCCTGTTGCGAAGTTGAAGAAAATGATTTCAGATGCTGTCCGTATGCTAATGTATGTTTCAAATGATGTATAATATTCACATATAACTTCTCAGGGTGTATGTTGTAGTGATGGGAGAAATTGCTGTCCTCAAGGGACAAAGTGTGATTTGGAACCCGGTTATTGTCGTTCTCCTAATGGGACTGTGTTACCCTCCAAACATATATCGGAGGTGAGTGTGCTTTTTTGCATTTTATTACAGTATGACATGTAAGTTTCGCTGTGTAAGAGAATCTCTTTACTTTTCTGAATCGTTATTGACATTTAGATAGAGTTCGTTTCTCCCCAAGTATTTTATCCTGAAGTTCGCTATTTAGAACTTTACACAAGTCTTCTTATGAAGACAAGGCATCTAAATTTCTGTACTCTTAAAGTTTGACTGCCTTTTTTAGTGTATTAGCTTGATAATATCTTAATAGGCCGAGATCTAACGATCGTGAAGTTTGTGCTGAGGTTTTCTCATTTAATGATTTTGTTGGGACGCAAAGTAACATACGGCTACTTTTACTTTCCCTAAGTTTGATACGTAAAATGAAATAATCAATCTTCTCAAACATTAGATACAACAGAAACAAATATTTAACTTTTCTTATGATAATTAGGGTTTACATCGACTAATCTCCATCTTGATGTTGTTCGGCAACTTTGGTCAAAATATTTGGGTTATAACTGACTGAGCGACTTTTTAGTGGCATAGTGTTATAATCAGACTTTCAGGTTCCACTTCTTAAATATGAGCAGAATGCATTTAATCCGCATCGTGTTCAGTAGAGTTGTTCCATATTTTGTGCACGGTATTACATGATGTATATGGATATGTGCAAAGTAAAAACCCTGTGGGCTTGAGACCCAAGTTTCTTTGTAACATGTATCCTAGTGACATAAGCTCAAAGACTCAAAACATTAAGTCAACATCGCTGTGTAAGCTTGGATTAGACTAATAGTAATGTAAACCAATTAAAGTTTACTTAAGGAGGCCTAGATATTATTCCAAGCTAATAGACAATGTGATATGTCCCAGTAAATTTTATTTGCTAAACGACCTAGTCTTTTTTGAATTTATTTCGGCTTAAAATCAGTAAAATACCTCATCGCACAATTGTAATTTGTAGGAATACCCTGTAATCGGATCTTTACTGTATTATTGGACAAAATCTCCAATTATGTAGTAGTACTATGCGAGTATTAAGTGACCGTAACCAGTTCTGATTTTTATCATCTATTCCGCAAAATTCTTGTGTACACGTTCAGATCACTGAGTAAATATCAATGCAACTAAAAAAATATATCGTTAGTATTTGTTAATTTTTATTACTTATGGTGTCGATGAGTTCAAGTTCTGAAGTCCTACATTGCCCCCAAATGCCCTGGTACGGTTGAGAGTGGGGAGAGTCCGCTCTCCCTCGCGAAATGCTCTCACATGGCCACGCATATATAGCCTCTGCCAGGGAAGTCCTACTCACTGCCTTCTCGTGGCGGGGGTGTTGTTTACGAAATTGAGAGGACGAAAAGCGAATGTCTGGCACTTTAATCTGGTTGGTGGGCATGGAGAGTTGGAAAACCCTCATTCCAAACCAATGGTGCACATTGACTTCAGTGTCCTGAAGGAACAAGTGGCGTATGAACCAATCGTTGGTCATCGGCTACCATGGGACTGCATCTCCTTACGATGCTCCACTGTCTTGTGTATCAGACCTTCAGGTCGAAGGCTCCGGGTGTGGCTTCCTATGGAAACCACCTGCTTCGGTTCAGGCACCCGGGTAGTATCACATCTTTCACATATATTAATTTACATATGTGGCGCATATGTATTTGGTGCTTCGTTGTACCAATATCTGTGTTAAAATAAAATAAAAACGTTGCGATACGTTAGCACTAAAAAACGTAATTAAAATACGAGATGAATCTCCACTTATTCTTACGATTTGTCCCAAAGAAGTAAGCGTAAATTTTTAGGTGAGATTAAAGTTACTTCCTACGCAGCTGTCAACTACCGAACTTTCTCGAGTTCACTAGAAAAATGAACGATTAAAAATGAGCCAAGATGTTCAGGTAGGGAGAAAGAATTAGTTTGTAGAAAGCGAGGTATAAATTAGTTTAATCTCAAGGTTCAAGGGGAGATAAAGACTGTACACGCGCCATTGTGATAGATTGTGAGCCAAGTCATCCAGTCTCCAACCACCGCTTACAATAGTCGCGCGGACCCCAACCAAGTAATATTCATCTACTAAAACGGCTCAGATCAGAAGTTAGTGAAATTATGCCAATTTTTGGTTTAGCCACCCCTAACTTCCTTCCAACTATCCCCAACATTAGTCAGCATTGAGCGCTATAGTATTCGTTTGTCGGGCATGCGTAACACGTGGTCCAACCATCTCAGTCGATGAAGCTTCCTAACCTTATCAACCGATTTACCATCATCACTCCCCAATACTCTGCATCTAACCTCATCAAAACAGGACTATCATCTGCACATTCTAAGTCGATAAGTGGACCTCGTGGAAGGAGACCTATTCCTGGAAATTCAGACGACGAGAGTGTTATTTCCAGCAGTAGGTCAATGATGAAATTTTAAAAAAATGAGATAGTGGACAGTCTCACAGGACATCACTTGAGGTTACGAAATCAGACGATGGTTCGCCATAAGCTCTGAATCAACTGGTAGTGTTCGAGTGGAGCCTCCACAAGGTTTATGTACTTCTGAGGTACACCTTTCAATGACAGTAGTATATCTAATAATCATTGTCATTGTATGGCGCATATATATCTGGTGCCCCCTTGTACCAATATTTGTGTTCAAACAAATAAATAAATAACAACATACACTGCCACAGAACCTCTCGATCTACAGGGCCAAATGCTGCTTTTAAGTCAGGAAAGACCACCATTGTCGGACGCCGATAAGTATGCCTGTGTTCTAGAACCTGAAAAATGGTGAATATGTGGTCGATGCAGCCACAACCAAATCTGAAGCCAGCTTGATTTTCTCGTGTTTGCAGTTCACGAGTCTTAGTTAGGCGTCTGATAATTATCAAGGCTCGTATTTTAGATACTATATCAGTTAAACTAATCCCTCTATGGTTGTTACAGGACGAATTTTACCCCTTCTTATGTAATGGGACGATAAATGATTGTGACCAGTCAGATGGGATAACGTCCAATTTCCAGATTTTAGTTAAAATATTATTCAAGCTAATCGCTAAAACTGGACCAGCTACTCTTCCTCGTTTCAGATTGGTTATAGCTTTTTGAAATTTAATTAAATTCGGAGTGTCTATTTCAATGTTCCATTCAGACTGTTTGGAAATGGTGGATAGTTGTAGTTGTAGAGTATCTGAAGACCAGGTGAACTGCTTCTTAAAGTGTTCCTCCTATCGTTCGAATCATCTGAATTGAAAGTAGATAAGAGTGTGATCCTTTTATCGAGATTGTCTCATTTACACTTAACTTTTTATTACGGTTTGTTTTATTAGTCTAAAAAGCTGTCCAGTGTTACGTGCAGCCACTGTCTTTTCCACCACTTTTGCTTTCGCTGCCCACCACTGCTTACTATTGTTCTGTAACTTTTGGTTTATTTAGATGTGATTTGTTTTCGATCTTCATCGTGCTTGGAGCATGATGGGTGATGAGTTTACATGAATCTACGCGTTCAATGGACTTAGTGGAAATGCACTGATTTTTCGTAACCCTTTGATTAAAATCACTAGTAGATGTGGGTGCTGTTTCTACAACTGTTTGTATATCTTTTCAAGCAACATCTGAGTCAGCCTCGTTTTCAGAACTGCTTGGGTGTGACCTCAGTTGTTCATGGAATTTACCTTTGGCTTTCTTATCGCTGAGTTCCACTCTAATGGGTCTTAATGTAGTTTTTCTGCATTCAGTGAGGTGAAAGCGAATGCGTGCTCGTATTAGAGCATGATCGGAGTTCAAATATGTGTTACAGAACGAGCGACAGTCTTTTATCGAGCCTCTCCAACGATGACTGTTGGGGATATGGTGTATTTGAGTCCATCGTTGGTTGAAACAAGTAAAGTAGTTTCCATAATTGTAGGCAGTTCATCATATTTGTGTGTGGGCTGTGATACTGCCCGGGTTCTCAGACCGAAGCAGGTGGTTATCTTAGGAGTCGCACCCCGAATGATGAGATCAATGCACGTATAGTGAAAGCCAGAGCGGCTTATGCCAATCTGGGCCACCTTTGGCGCCTTCATGATGTTAGTCTGGCTGTAAAAGGTCGGATCTACAACGCGTCGATGAGAGCAGTTTTGCTCTATGCTTGTGAAACCTGGCCTCTCCGAGTTGAGGACGTTAGACGACTCTGTGTTCGATCATCGCTGTCTCCGAGGGATTGCTGACATCCAGTGGCAACACCATGTCAGTAATGCAGAGGTTCGGCATCGTGTGTTCGGGCACAGAGACGATAATCCAATTGGTGTCACCATCTTGAAACACCGACTTCGGTGGCTTGGACATGTTCTACGAATGTCGTCCCAGAGAATTCCACGTCGTGCATTATTTGCCAACTCTGGGACTGGTTGGAAGAAGCGGAGAGGTGGTCAGTATATGACATGGTGTCGTGGCATGAAAGAAAGCTGCAAAGGACTGGCTTGTGTTGGTCCTTCACGACTCCCTGGTTGGGGTCCGAGAGATGGTGCGACACAGTTGCTAGAGACGTTATCAGATATGGATCAGAATAAAAACCAGTGGCGATCCTGCTGTAACCTTCTTTTATTTTCTACATGAAAAGTGGTTGTGTCTCCCTTAACTGAAAGATTTCTGATTGTACCTTTCCGTTACCTCATTATCACTACACTACCTTACACCAATTTCTTCGTTATTGTTCTCTTTTTTTACGCTCCTTACCTTTTTTTCTCTTCGATTTCTCATTGTTTTGTGTGGCGCATATATATTGGCGCTCTCTTGTACCAATATTTATGTGTTCAAATAAATAAATAAATAAACTGCCATCGTTGGTTTGTTGCAGAGGTTGCCATGTTAGATGATGTCTCTCCTTAGGCTTAAAATTAGTGTTCGCTAGAAATAAACGATTGTCTGAGCACAGTTTCAGCAGACGATCGCGAATATCTGTTCTCTGTGCCAGAATACTAAACCACCCACTTAAATGTCTCTCTTTGTTTTGAGCTACCTACTTGATCATTAAATTCACCTATGAGTACCATGAGTGTTCAGCTTTTTGAAGCAGTTCTGTAAGCTTACTGAAACATTTATTTTTTACTTCAGGGCTGCAGTCCGTGCGAGTGTAGGCAGAAACGACATAAAGGCAACGATATGTGTCACTATCCTTCCGCGTTTTTAAGTAACCGTTTAGCCGAACAGTATATAGGCGACTGTTAACTGTAATCCACTCTAGTAGTGCTTGTTCTGCCCTCATACTTATTGCTATGCTTGCACCCACTAGTTCACAAGAACTAGTCATCGGGTCGATAGATAAATAGAGGGCGTATCTCGTTGTCTCCCTCGTTTTAACGAGGTAAGTTCGAGTGAGTGATCACACTAGGATCCTGTATGCGTGTTTCGTAGACGCAGCATACATCAATGTTACGGGATGTTAGAGTTTTAGCCAGGGAGGCCTGCTGATCGACTTGACATAGGGTATGTACGTTAAATGCTCCAATGTGTAGTTTAGTGCGGCGTTTCAACACACCTAGGAAAGTATTTCGCTCACTAAAATCGTTGCCCATGGTTGCCCTTGAAGAGGGAGTTTAGAGTTAAAAGTCGAGGTCGGAGGAGTAATAGGAATTAAAGAGGGGATTGATTATGAATACAGTGGTTTTGAGTACTGTTAGAGGTACTGGTTGCCCACATCGTGGAAGGGTTCTTCTAGAGGTAACTGAAAAGGAAATAGGGTTAGAGTTAGTCACACCTCTGTACAATCAGCAGTATGATTTCGCCCTCTGGTCTTGGGTTTGCTGCTTTCAGTCTTACCACTCTTCAGCCGACCTGTCTGGCATGATAGGACCTTGAAGAACAATTGTCCCAGCTGGTATAGCTCGATTGCTTCATCACGATAGACAAGCCCGACCATCACGGTAGGGACTGCGCATAATGTGTGGAGAGTGGTTCTTCATCTATATCTCGTTTATATTTTAATATAATAAGTTCTAAATTCTCTATTATTAAATACAATAGTTTCCATATAGAGTACTTGACTGCTCGTTTATGATCGATTTTCTTTCATTTTCAGAGAGTAATTGGTGACTTCAAAACTAGTACTTTGGATATGGTGCTTAGGAGACTATCTACAGACTACATTATGTGTCCTGACCGCCAGTCAGTGTGCCAGGATAACACTACATGTTGCCCAATGTCAGGTGAGATATGGGGTTGTTGCCAACATGCCAATGTAAGTTCCTTTTTGGAAATACCTCGTGTTATTACATTATTGCTTTATCGGTTCACTCATACATAGTATTTTAGAAATCCCCGTAAACGAATCTCTGGTACTCATCTTTTTTTGAACAAACATTAAATATGGTTTAAATCGGAATACTAGTTGTCGTCCTTCCATCATGTAAAAACTTGTGTGACAAGCCAACAGCTACTTGAAATTTGTCGAGTCCCACTAACTTTTTCTTTGTTTTATGACTACCTAAGCCTATCCATTATTTATTTATTTATTTTAACACATAGATATTGGTACAATGAGGCACCAAATACATATGCGCCACACAAGTCACATTCGATATGTGTGAGGGCTGTTATACTGCCCGGGTGCCCAGACCGAAGCAGGTGGTTTTCTTAGAGGGCCACACCCCGAGCCTTCGACCTGAAGGTCTGATCCACAAGGCAGTGGAGCATCGTAAGGAGATGCAGTCCCATGGAAACCGGTGACCAAAAATTGGTTCATACGCCATTTGTTCCCTCAGGATACTGGAGCCCATGTGCACCATCAGTTTGGAATCCGGTTAAAGCGCCGGACATTCGCTTTTCGTCCTCTCATTTTTGTAAACAACACCCCCGCCACGAGAAGGCAGTGAGTAGGACTTCCCTGGCAGAGGCTATATACGCGTGGCCATGTGAGAGCATTTGGACAGGGAGAACGGACTCTCTCCACTCTCGGCCATACCAGGGCATTTGGGGGCCATTAGCAACTTCTTTAAGGGTTCAGTCAGTTTTTTTTATCTTCATAGCCTATAATAAATGCCATAATAGCCATGGGATTGGCGTTTGCTAACCTTTATTTATTTATTTAAACACATAAACATTGGTACAAGGAGGCAACAAATATATATGCGCCACACGAACCATTTAATTTCCGTGGGGGCTGGAATACTGCCCGTGTGTCCAAACTGAAGCAAGTGTTTTCTTTCCGGGGCCATTTCCCGAGCTAATGCCCTAGAGGTATAATCCGCAAGTCAGTGGATCAAAGTTAGATGCAGTCCATGGTAGCTGGTGACCAGCAATAAGTTCATAAGTCTCTTGTTCCCTCAGGATCCTGGTGCCCATGTGCACCACTAGTTTGGAATGAGGGTTTTCGAACTCCCCTAAGTGAATCCTCTATAACCACCAACCCTGTTTAAAATCCGAACATTCGCTTTTCGTCCTCTCAATTTCGTAAACAATATCCTCCTTGAGAGTGGGCAGTGTTTAGGACTTCCCTGACGGGCTGTATGCGCATGGCCATGTGAGAGTATTTAGAGAAGGAGAGTGAACTCTCTCCTCCTTCGACCGTCCCAGGGCATTTGGTAGCTGTTCGTTGATCAGTCTTCTACCCATCACTTCATAAAGTTGGACTTGGCCATGTTAATAGGTGTAGACTACCTGGTTGAGATCCGCGTGATTATCATTACCAATGGTTAGGGACTTTGAATCACATGGCTCAAAATCGTTTGCAATTGTGCAGATGCATCCATTATTTGTCATCCCCGAAATTCTGAATTCCTCATAACCATTACTTTTGTTTTTATTTCACTAATTTATATTTTCTTTACAAATCGTGTCTGATATCTAATCTTTCCTATTACCACTGATACTGTTACTACCTCTAATATTCTAAGATTTCGCTTTACAATTCCATCTCTCTCTCTCTGTTATTTGGGTATGGGGACTTGAACCGATGTACACACGTACCAGGTTCTGCATTGTGACTGACTGTCTGACTGATAAATCCATAATTATTACTGTTGCGCGAAACAAATATTGAGTTTGGAAATAATCCTTGTTACAAGTTAGAAATGGTGAATTTCACGTCGATTGAGTCTTGAATACTACAGAATATTGACAAACTTTTTCATTGATAATGTTAAAAAGTCACATATGAATTTTTTTAACTCCACATTCCATAACTCATTATTCGTATAAGACTCTGAAGCAATAAGTTATAATTAATAATTCACTTATCTAATCTAGATATAGTATATAGGAACGGAACAAAAGCAACATATTTACTTTTATTGAAAACATATGCTCACTAGTGACTGGCTTCAAGATGTATATCCTGGAGTTCTAGTGAAAAGCAGTGACCAGTTGAGTTCAACCGGGGCAGTTGTGAGATAGTAACTCGCTGATGACAATGGTGGGTGTGTCGCTCAATTTCGTGGATTATTTGAAGTTAGACATTAACACCGTTGGATGCCGGCTCAGTGGTCTAGTGGTTAAGTGGCCCTGGGTTCGAATCCCGCGAGGCGGGATCGTGGATGCTCACTGCTGAGGAGTCACACAATTGGACGAAACGGCCTTCCAGTGCTTCCAGGTTTTCCATGGTGGACTCATGATCTCAACAATTGAAATTACTAAAATCTCCACAAAACCCTTTTCTGAAAATAATTTTTCATTATGAACTAATATCAGTTAAGAAAACCGTTGAATTTTTCACTCAGTAAAATAATCACAATAAAATCCTACATTACGGTTGTATTTAATTCCATTTTCTATGTTTTTATTATGGTCAAGATCCACTGGATTAAGTCGCGTTGTTCGGTTGATGGGTCTAACTTTTATATTTGATCACGTAATTGATGACTATCGATAGAGTAAATTATTATATCCAGTGATTGTAGTTAGATTTGACTGCTTAAGTCAAGTCAGTCAGTTATATACTATGTGGAACGCCTGACACTTGCTCATCGGTCTAAGTTGCCACACCACACACAGTGAGGTGGAATTATCAAGAAAGATTCGATAGCTTATAACTTCATAGACTGGTGCCACGTCTTGGTATAGTAATCCTTAGCTTTCAGTCTACTCTTACACCTGACATCACCTGTCATGGTAGGTGGTGTTTGAGCATACGTAACACACGTCCTAACCATCTCAGTTTACTACATCAACCGGTTATGTCTACCTATATGATTATAGGTTTTAATATCCTTGATATGAAGCTTGTCGACATTTATACCCTCTTTACATGAAAATACTAGACGTTTTTGTATTGTGTTTTAGTAAGCTTACTATTTTCATTGCAAATGTTTATTAAAGTTGTATATCAAGGGGTCATATTTCACTAGTTATTAAGTGTATAAATGAAATAGAATCAGTTAAACATGGTTTTCGAACAACAGTATCATGGGTAAATCCTAATTTTAGTCGTATCCACAGATAATTCAAGCAGTTATAATCTAATTTCCTTTAAATTATATACAATTAACCACAAATACAGTATGTGAATCAATTTTCCGAAGAAAGACATGGATTTCATTTTATGACGTATTCATAGAGAAGAAAACGAAATTACAAACCCAAGGCGAGGAGAATTGAACGTCAGTTTATGTAAGAAGCTTCCGGCAATGGGAGCCTGCGTGGGTTGCAGGTGTAAACGTAAGAAGAGTTGGTGGTGTGATGTGTAAAATTGATGTTCGAGAGAAATGTCTGACGCAAACTGTATCCTCGGTAGACGATTGAATTCAGGTGAAGAACCCCGTAACTCGAAATTGCCACTAGATTACTTAATCAGAAAAGTCTAAAACAAAAAGAACAATACAGAAGTGATGGTCAGACCCCAAGAAGATGACGTTTCCCTCAACTCCTTCAGTTAAATCCAAGTAGGACTTACTTTTCATGATAGGAAGGTGATATAGTGAGTCAGTCAGAAGTATCTAAATGAAAAAGTCACTTGAGGACAGTCAGAAATGGCTTAAAGGACAACTACATATCATTGGTTAAGAAATAGATTCATTTTCTAAGGTGTAGAACGGTATATACGTATGTAAATAAGTATTTATGCATTTTGTTCGGTAACACAATAGACTTTCTCTTTTACCTATTATATTCTCTCTCAAGTAGTCAATTTGGGGGGTTAGCGCATAGCACGTTGTGTATCAGCATTACATATCGGACACCGTCTATCATAATAGTAATTTTAGTTGTAATATCAATGTGGTTCTGCGTAGCTAAATGATAGGTACAATAGAAATTTAAATGTCCTCTGAAATCCTGGTTCAAAATGGCTATTCTCCAGAATTAATCAATCTACTTGGGAACGTTTTCATCTCACTGTTGATTCAAGTAAGTCAAATAGTCTTCTGAAGTGATTATATAAGAGTGTAATACCATAATATCTGGTTAGCTTCGTTGTTCAAGCACTATAATTTCAACCAACAGGTTTTTCGTTCAAACTTCATCCTATTCATACCACTAATAGCCTTCAAATAAAAAATACCCCAGTTAAGTACATAGGACTGTATTTGGTATATGAGTTTCACTGTTTATGTCCCTAAATAAGTCACCCAAACTCTGTGATGAGTTTTTTTTATTATTCATAGGCTATTTGCTGTCCAGATGGAGAACATTGCTGCCCTCATGGTTCAGTCTGCGATATGGTGCATCGCTCATGTAAACCAGCTAACTCCAATGAAATCCCAGAGATAAAAGAATCTTCCCACACCTTACACCTTGTATCAGCATCAGCTCCTGCACGTCTCAACCCAAATGTCAACCCATCTAAAGCAGGCTGGAGAAAAAAGATTCATAAACTGTCAGCCAAGTATTTACTAGCTTATTCTGGTGTCGTATGTCCAGATCCATTATATGAATGCCCAGCTAATACAACTTGTTGTCCTAGTCCAGATGAAACATGGGCATGTTGCCCTATTCCTCAAGTAAGTTTTTTGATATCTATGAATTTATAATTCAGAATTGTGTTAAAATGTCCACAAATCAATATAAACCTCCTGATTTCTTGTGTTCATTTTTAATCTGGGTTATATTGTTATTTATATTTGTTATGACGTGAAACTGCAGATTAGAGTGAAGAGCAAATTATCGATCGGACCACAGACGCGCAAACACGTAAGAACGGCCTAGAGCCTCGATTGGTCCCGCTCCCCTGTCTAGCCCAGCCAGTTGAGTCCAGAACGCAAGTCTTAGCCTCTGAGATATGAATCGTTATATTTCAGACACACTCTGCTTATATACCAATCAAGCATACGACATCGTACCATAAAATAGAAAACAACATTTTGTACAATATTCAACAAGTGAACAAATATCGACTAATAGGAAATGTCCATTTAAAGTTCAAGGACACCATTGGACTTAACATGATAATTATTGATATATTCCTCTGCATTCCTAACAATATTATAAAAGAATTATCCTACATTTCACAGTAACATCCCTCGTTTGATTAAAATCGCTCATTATCATATTGCTAATTAAAATGTAAAGGGTTTTTTTCAGGTTACTTAATATTTACTGATTTTTACGTAGAATTAAAAATTCAGATTTGGAACTGATAATATATATTTATAAAGCTGGAATGTATATAGCAAATATAATTCATTGGAGTGTTGAGTAAATTAACCTAGTGACATAATTCCATACTTCATTGGTAACATTTTTAATCAATTTTATTGGGTTAGATTGGATGATGTTGGCTATCCAGTAGTGAACTACTAAAGATTTTTGTTTCATATATTAACAAACAATCGTAATGCAATATCTAACACAAAAATACATTAGTTCAAGTGACTGCGTCGCCCCTGACCGTTACTTCCACCTTGATCTGGTGATCGGGCTTGCCTATCGTGATGAAGCAATCGAGCTTTACTGGATGGAACAATTGTGCCAGACAGGTCGGCTGAAGAGTGGTAAGACTAAAAGCGGCAAGCCTAAGACCAGAGGGCAAAATCATACTGGTGACTGTACAGAGGTGTGACGGCAGTAAGGTGCTTCCCTTAGACAACCAGCATAACAACGACCTCACCATATCCCAAGGATATCGGTCACCAGTGGTAAGGTCCCAACAAGTCAGGAGCTAGCACAAAGATTACTCACAGAAAGTTCGTGTGTGACCAGCCTTAAGTAGTTGTCCCTTGGGCATTGTGGTCACGCTCTCATTTGACCAAACCAACTCTAACCGAATTTCCTTTTCAGTTACCTCCAGAAGGACCCTCCTCGCGGTATAGGCAACCGGGAAGTGAAAACCGCCCTCATACCTCTAACAGCACTCATGACTGCAGCGCCTCAACAAGAAATCCACAAAACAGAACGTAAATAATATGAAAATAACCGCCTAATATACACTTGTGTCACATTGTGGATATTTTAAACATATCAGTAAAACTCCAACTTTTAAGAGTGGATAACTTCATTAAACATATCGTTGAACCAAATATGGTAGTTGACAATTTTCAGTTGTACGGGAAAGGGTGGTTAACATTGTGTCATACGAAATACGATTAGGACATATCATCCAATCACTTGTTCTCAATTAACTACTAGCATTGTGTTACTCCTAACACTACTATTTACCATACTTTGTCATTGTCTATTTGAATTTGGGCGATAGATATTTTGCATTTTCAAGACCTTAATATCTTATTTAATCTTATTCATAATCAACATAATTTGATATGTTGTTGTGTAGAATATCACTTTTTAGTACGAATGTAATTTAGTGAACGAAGTTAAAAACTGATCACCAGTTTTGATCGTTAATATTAGAAACTATTTACTAAACAATTTTATTTCTGTATTCTTTGTTCATTATTTCTATCATCTATCTCTTATATCTACATTTAGTTAGGTTATCGTGATATTCTTTTCTTCATATTATGTAGACTGTCCCCTTTCCTGGTGTTTCTAACAAAGCTTTGAATAAGTTCCTTGAACAGATATACAATAATAAAAATGGTTCATATTCTGTCGAAAATTTTAATTTGACTTATATGAGCTTATCAACATTAAATGGCACACAATTGTGTCCAGATGCAAAATCTCGCTGTAGCGATGAACAAACATGTTGCAAACTAAAAACTGGAGAGTGGGGTTGCTGCCCTGTGATAAATGTGAGTAACTTACTGAAATGTTTAGAATTAGTGAGGTTCTACTGAACATTCAACGGGTTTGACTTGTTATTTTTTTGCCATATTATCTCATAGTGATTAAAACTTAACTACTTACGTTTAACCTATCCGATATTTAAGGCTTGAATCCTTAATACTGTAAAAATACAACCAGATATGTTTTTGCTACATATATATATTTGAAAACAAATACTGGTAAAGTGGGCACCAGTTACATATGCGCCGCACAAATCTCACTTGGTCAGTGTAAGGGCTATGATACTGCCTGAGTGCCCAAACCGAAACAGGTGGGTTTTTTAGCGGACGACACCCGGAGCCTTCAACCTAAAGGTCCGATCCACAAGGCAGTGGAGCATCGTATGGAGATGCAGTCCCATGGTAGCCAGTGACCAACGATTGGTTCATATGCTATTTGTTCCCTCAGGATATTGGAGCCCATGTACAGCATTGGTTTGGAATCTGTTTAAAGCCCCGGACTTTCGCTTTTCATCCTGTCATTTTCGTAAACAACACCCCCGCCATGAGAAGGCAGTGAGTAGGACTTCCCTGGCAGAGGCTGTATACGTGTGGCCGAGTGAGAGCATGTCGAGAGGGAGGGCGTGCTCCCCCACTCTCGGCCATACCAGGGCATTCGGGAGCTATATACGCGTGGTCATGTGAGAGCATCTAAAAAGGGAGAGCGGACTCCACTCTTGGCCGTACCAGGGCACTTGAGCGCATATATATATATATACTCAATTTTTTGTTTATTGTGGACCTTTGTTTTTCTCTGACGTTAGAAACAGTCATCATAGAAATATCTCAAATAATAAGTTATAGGGATTTGTTGTTAGTTATATGAATCATAGAAAATTATAAGTTTGTACATCATTCAATTCATGTTTCATTATTGTTTTACATAATATTCGGTTCATTCTTTTCACCAAAATCAGTTATCATGAATTTTGTTACAATTCACTCCAGTCTATTGTTTCATTTCTTCATTAGTTTTAATTGATGCATTTGATAAATAAAGTTCATGTGTAGATCCAAATCTTTTTAAAATTATTATCTGTTAATGTTATGTGTTACTGTTGGGAATGCTAAATACCCAGAACTGACTTGATAAACGTTTAGTTTTGTAATTTTATTTTGGACATTTGAATTTCTTGCTTTCTCGCCAAAAGTTTTCATTTTCACTTTCATATCATACTTCCCACTTGTCAGGATCCTAAATATGACGTTTTCCAAAGACATTTGTGACTGATGCTGTTTGTACCTCTAACTGCTTGTGAAATACATTTCCCTCCTGTGAAACTTAACTTCTCTCGTTAGTTAGCGGGGCTAGAATAGTTAATTGATTTGATCATTGTATCATTGAGTTCCTGTTCCATTCACAGATTTAGATGATCTATTAATCTCTGCAAATATAACAGTAACATTCTTACAAAATTTTAATCTATGAAAATGATAAATATGGTTCGTTACCTATATATGATGTATATCAAAGGTCAATGAATATTAAGTGTTACTTAATATCTAAATTATTTGTAATGCATGAATTAGAACATGGTGTGATAAATATTATTTTTTTCTCTATTGGTAAATAGCTACTTTGTTTTGAAACATTTTACTTATTTCAATATAAGATTAAGTTTTGTCTTAATAGGTGGCAAGTTTTGAGAGAGAGAGAGAGAGAGAGAGAGAAATCATATTTCAATGTGTAATATTGCGTGATTTTATTTCAAAATAACAGATATTTTCTTGTTGTTGTTATTGGTAATTCACTATTTATATTTATTTATTTATTTGAACACATAAATAATTGGTATAAGAGGGCACCAAATATATTTGCTCCGCACAAAACAATGAGAATTTGAAGAGAAGAAGGAAAAACGTTAAGGAGTGTTAAAAAGAAAAACAGAACAAAAAACGACCACAGATTAGTTTAAGGTAGTGTAGTAATAATTGTAATAATAATGGAGGAAAAAGGAAAGGTACAACCAGGAGAATTCTTTCAATTAAGGAAGATACAACCACTTTTTATGAAGAAAATAAAAGAAGGTTACAGCAGGATCGCCACTGGCTTCTATTCTGATACATATCTGATAACGTCTCTAGCCACTGTGCTACACCATCTCTCGGACCCCAGCGAAAGATTCGTGAAGGACCAACACAAACCAGTCCTTTGCAGCTTTCTTTCATAATCCGACACCATGTCATACACTGACCACCTCCGCTTTTTCTAACCAGTCCCAGAGTCGGCAAATAATGCACGACGTGGAATTCTCTGGGACGACATTCGTAGAACATGTCCCAGCTCTTATGCAGCTACCCAGATACATGAATTTCTCGACTACTTCTATCTACTCACTATCCAGGGTGAATACAGGATTAGAATCCTGCCAGTCTTGTAGAAGTACTTTGCACTTCGAAGGTGCAAAGCACATACCATACCTACGGACACTGATTGCCAACTGATTAAGTGCGGATTGCATCGCACAGTAAGACAATATCGTCCGCATACTCAAGGTCGAGAAGTCTTTCTCCAGGCAAGAGATCCACACCACCATTACTTACATTCATCAGAGCTGTTTCCAGAATGTCATCGATGGCAAAGTTGAAGAGGAATGGTGAGATTGGGCAACCCTGCCTAACCCCACTACTCGAATGGAACAATGGAGAGAGGTGGTTGTATGCCCTCACTCTGCCTGGGGTGTTTGTATATAGGGCCTTTAGGATGTTAATAAACTTCTCAGGCACACCCTTCTTCAATAGACAATCCCAAAGAACAGTCCTATCCAACGAATCGA